TATCAGGACCTGTAGTGGCCAATAACTCAGCCACTGTTTTTGGCGCCAAAAGCCGAACTAGCAGCGTCCGATTTACGCGGAATTTTTTTTGAATTTTTGAATCCCGCGCTCCCCCCCCCCCCCCCCCCCCTCCTGCACTCCTCATGCCTTTGAATCGTGCCGGGATCTGTTGTGGCCAAGAAAGCTTTATTCTTAGCACTAGGATAGTTCCTGACACTGGAGACGGAGCGTCCTTTTTCAGCGATGAAATCGACAATTTTTGAATGCTTCCCGCTGCCTCCCCCATCTTTTTACCTCTTCCCCCCCCTCATTGTGCCCTTTGTGATGAGTGACTTTGACTCTATGGCGCTTTGCGCTAAACGATAAAAACTTGCAAGTTTTGCGGAATGGAAGGACACTTTTTCCGCTGGCAACCTCGATTGCAAACACTCGACGATCAAAAAACACGTCCCATCGACTTCTGACCCCCCCACGAAAAAATTGTGCCGACGTGATTGCATCGCGCGAGGAAAAATTACCGTTAGCATCGATGAGATTTCGATTTGCGATTGAGTTTTCTGTTCAAAATGGTTAGCGAGAGAGTTCGACTGAAATTGGAACGAGTCGATGCTCTTGCAACTTCCTATGAGATTTCCGAAATGCCCTTTTGAGCATTGAAAGTGCTGCTGTGAAGTGGGCAATTCTTCACGACACTGTGCTGAAACTTTTTAGTTGTGCTAACTTTGCAGACTTTCAATATTGTTCCCACAAGTTCACCTTCACTAACGATTAAAATTCCATTCCATTCAAGTAGCGTTGAAAAGGTTTTTTGTACCCAGTGAGGAGCAGCGTTAGTCTGGAAATGCATTTTTCGGCATATAAAGGTAGTGATAGAGAGGGGAAGGAAAGGGAGAAGACAGCGGACCTCAGAGAATGAGCTGTTAATCTTTTAAAGATGTTTGAGTTATGAAAATATAGTTTGTTTTCATCTGTGACTTATTCAAATACAACTGAGAATTTTATAAAAACCAAACAACTTAATAAAGTAAACGAAAACAAAATTTTTCTGAAAGGGGGTAGAGTTAGCTTCCACAAGTTTCCTTGATGAAAACTGCTGGAACAAAGCTTGCATCCTCAAGAAACTTCCGCGGAAGACTTAGAAATCAAGTCATACTCCGTCTAAGAGAAGGAACGGAACAAAATGAAAGAGTACCATATATATTTTCTCTTATTATTACAAAATTTAGGATTGCCCGCCTCTCAACTCTTGTCGTCCTTACACTCCCCCTCCCCATCCTTCCTAAAGAATTGCTGTAAACGCCATATACAGGATGTCCCAAAAAAATGTTTAGAACGTTTGATCGTTAATATGTCTCTTCCCAAGAAGTCTTTTGCCTTGCTTCAGGTACCGTTTTGTAGAGCTGGCTTCAACTTAGATTTCCATTATAGAACGAATCACCCATCTCTCTTCAATACTGTAGGGTTACGGTAGAAACTTCAAAGAGGGTTTTGAACCATGAAAGGCCATATTTTGCCTCAGAAAGGAAACAAAACAGCCTGAAAACTTTTACACCAGGCTAATTAGAATTGCTGATTATAACTGTAAAGTTCCCAACTTATTATGATGCTTCATTGAAGAGTTATGCCAGGTGAGAGGTAGCGGCCTTTTTTTCAATGTTCCTAAAAAGTGCGATTACACCGTTTAGAAAGCTTCGTAATCTTGTGATTAGTTGAGTATTGAACTCAGCGTCTATAAAAACCCTATTACACAAGTTTTCACAATTTTTTGAAAAATTTTGAAACGGCAGCTTTTTCCACATTGACACCATATGTTTCAAGTTTCTACCGTAATCCTACAGTAATGAAGAGAGATGGGTGATTCGTTCTATAATGGAAATCTAAGTTGAAGCCAGCTCTACAGAACGGTACCTGAGGCAAGGCAAAAGACTTCTTGGGAAGAGAGATATTAACGATCAAACGTTCTAAACATTTTTTTGGGACACCCTGTATAGAGGGAGGTACAGTGGTTCCAACATCTTTGGTCAATTTTTTGTCATTCTACTGGATGAGAACCCTTGGTTTGGCCAAATAATACTACACGTGTTCCCATTTGTAAAAAATTCCTATACATCTCTGAAGCGCATGAATGCCGTGGAAGGAAGATCTAATCCTTAGATTTGCATGCTTTATAATTGAACAATCCTTAGAGATTAGCATCGAATTAGCCAAGGCATCATGTAATTTGAAAATTCTCAAGGTAGCAGCAGACTTTAGTGAACAGAACAAAAATATTTTGGAATTTATCGTAATACAAAGGTAATTTGGGTTTTTCATTCGGATTTTTTAACACGAATTCTTTTCTGCGTTTTTTTTTTGTTTGCACTTCCAATGAAATTTTCCCATTTCTGCTTTTTCAAGTAATTTTCGGAATTCTTGCACTTGCTCACCTTCAGGCTGCAAATCTTACGAAATCATAAAGACTTATAGCATTCGCTATACATCCATTCGTATTACATCACCTTCGCATAAATCAACGTTGGTGGTCCCGCGCTGTCAATCACATGCTGGCCGCCTGTGGTTTCGTACAAATGATCCCCTTGCTCATAGCTTTTGTTCAACTTGATTCTAGGGACATTATTTCGAAACACAAAAAATGTGAATTCCAAGGTCGAGAGAACTTTCCCGCATTTTTTCACGAGTTATCTCAGCCGCAGTTGGTTCAAGCTGACACCAAATTGACAGTCAAACAAATTCAAACAAGTGCTCAGTGTGATTGCACAAAGTGCATGGGATTAACCGCTTTAGACGCTTGATTCGAATCGTAAAGTACAAGTGGTAGTATTTGTAGTTCTGCTTCAGTCTTGTGTGCGTTTTTTCATGCATGTTGGGCTAGTTGTGCAGTTGCACAAAAAACACGAAAAACTACACACTGATGGTATTTTTGGCTTGTAGGCGGTAATTTCAAAAAGTAGATCAATTTTAGGCATAGAACTTTTTCTCTAAGTTTTTAAAGTCTCATTTTTGATCGTCCTTTTACTTGCCATTGACATTTCCACTCGATTAATTTCAGAAACAAGATAGTGCTTTTGCAGTGCAGACAACATTTGCGCGTAAGTAACGGCCACGAGGCGCAAAGCTCAAATTTATGCATTCTATTGTAGCATCTGCAACTAGGAGTATGTTACGTCAAGAAGGGAACAAGTCTAGCTACTAAATTTTTTTCTAATCAGTAATTTTTGTCTAATTATTGATTTATTTGTCATTTTTTCAGTCAAATAATATAAGATCAATTAGTCAAATAATATCAAGATCGAACGGTGCCAACAACATTAGCGCCACATTATATAATGGCCATTGATGGCAAAACACTGGAATCACTCGCTTGACATTCTGCATGCGCAAAACGTGCGTTAGAAACACGGCTATTTCGCGCGCATGTGTTGTCGGCACCCTTCGGGTACACAAAGTGGTCAAACCTGAATTACAAATTCAGATAAATTGGTCCATTTTGGCTAAGCTGCTTTATTATTTACATTTGAAATAATCTTCTAGTTGTCGTGAAGATTTTCAGGGATTAAAATTTCGAACAGAAGATGTTTTGAAGAGTATTTTATAGGACCATTTTTTTTACCTTCGCCTTCCCTCCCCCTTTTCTTTCACAGGCAAAAAAGTCAAAGTCCTGAATAAAACAAACTCTAGAATGTGTGCTATGGAAGCATTCTTTTTTAGCTACTTCTCCCCTCCCTCTTTTCCTTTCCAGGCAAAAAATCGGAGTTTAAACAAGATAAATTCGACAGTGTGTGCCATAGAATTATTTATTTTCTGCTCCCCTTTTTCCCCTAGCCATTCACTTATTTCTCCCACCATCCGCTATTCCAGTGTTAGTGACAAGTGTCAGCTATCCGCCAAACATGCCAGCAGCCACGGCCGCGATGTTTTAGCGGAACTCGAAAAAACTGAACTTGGCTAGGATTTCGGCATCTATTGCCATAACTGGCGCGTGAAATCACTCTTTCGGCCGGCGTCAATGAAATTTCTCCGTAGGCTTTCCGTACGTCGAAACGCTAAAGATTCGTCGTTTATAGCCTATGAGGTAAGCTTTTTTATCAAAGGAAAAAAAAGAGGAGGGGGGGGGGAAGAACAACGCTAGTTACATTCGATCTGCAAGTTATTTGATTTCAAAGCAATATCTTTCGTAAAATCTGGATTTTATTTAGTTAACATGATCTTATTGTTAATTGAAAAAAATTTTCCTGAAAATCAGCCTTGTTTAGGGCTGATCGTTTCAGATTATCGTATTTGAGTCTAAGGTAATTCTATTTGTCCGGGGTAACGGGTATTTTCAGTTATTTACTGAAAAACAGTTTAAAAGAGAAAAAAAGATGCTTTTTTGACGTTTTGTACTTCTTTCCCTCAACACTTTATTTGTGATGCTACCAATGAGCTCGTAAAGTTTTTTCTTCCTAATGCCATAGAAGGCTTCGTAATAAGTAAAAAAAACGCCAGTATTTGATGAACTTGTCTTCAGAGACAGTGTCCAGACAAATCTAACGACCCAGGGGTTTTCTTTTCGTGTAAATTAACTGGAGATTAGCTATACCATCACCCAAGTCGCAACCTGAACGACTCGCTTGTAGTTGAGAAATTCAACCCTGAACTCGCGTCCAGTCCCGTAATCGCTGATTGTTTCACCTGGAGTGAGTACGGTACTGGGCAAACCTTTTGTGCTAAATTTTTAGTCAGTAACGTATTATAGAAAAAGGACAAAAACATTTCTGATCCTTCCTTTCCAATAAGTTATAGGACGCTATTTTTAATTAGTTATTTCGACATTTCTGATCCTTCCCACTTTTCGTCCTCGGATCACTTTATCCACCCATCTCCCATCCATAATTCCCCGCACATGCTCCCAATCACCGCCATATTTTATGATAATATGACCAGCTGTTCCTTATGTTCAGTCATTTTTTGACGAGCAGTCCAGATTGATTTTGCTTCAATAATCACTTCGTCAATTGCAGGGTCCACCGAATCCTGCCGAGGCCGAGCACAACATCCACCAGCACATGCAGAATCTACTGGTATCAAATCGTCAGAGCCATTTGGCTCGATTGCCGAGCACAAGTTATCGAGCCGATGGGCAGATCAGTGAGGCCTACTGGTTTGGAGGTTAGCTTTTGCCTATAGTACCATTTATGCCTCATTTTTTCCAATTTAGCCAAGATGAAAAAATTACGGATTTTACATCAGCAGACATTCATTTGTTCAAAAACTCAAGTAATACATAGTCCATATGAAACTCAAAAATGCAAAAAATCCTATCTATTGTAAATGTATTTGCCGAGTAGAATACATTGATCTTTAGTTAATGATGCATAGCATTGTATTCTGATCTATTTAAATGGTTTAAGATCCACTTATGCCTGCCTAATTTCAATTTCTCTTCCCTACCTCTCCTTCTTATCCAGCCAAAAAATGGACAACTTCGAATATTTCATAATATTACCTTTTCGCACTTCTCCGATGCTTGCACTTCTGATAATTGTCTATAACGTCCTGAATATCCTCGCTCCCCCCACCATTCGCACTTTGATCCTAATTTGAATATTCATATAAAAGGTGGGTTTTATATTCGTGAGAGAAATTCAGGACCAACAATAGCCTTAACTGGACTTAAATATAGTTCAAATGTAAGGTGAAGGTGAACATTCTGGAAGGAAATACGAAAATTCATTCGCCAATGAGGTAGAGCAATTATTTCAAAATTCCACAAAATTAGCTCTTCACATAAATCACAAATCAAATGAAATGTTTGAGTGCTTTAATACTCAAATTTGAGTGGCAATAGACAAAATCTGCATTTTGAGGGCACATTCTTCTGCTGTTGTAATTCTGCAAAAGCTCTATGCATTTACAATTTATATTCTTGGTAAAGTGCATACATATATCAAGCATTCATGTCTTTTTTCATACTATGTTTTCTGTTTCATGTTCGCGTTTATGTGCTCAATTTACCAAATTGGAGCAGTGTATATATAGCAAGGTCTCTCGCAGGCTTGCTTGTTCTTCCATTTTTCATCTCAGAGCTCCGCCAGCGATTCATTTTTCAGAGTTGCATTCGTGAAATGTAGACCACGCATTTAGAACAAGCGTTTTATGTAGTAAAAGAACTACATGTTACAAAATATGCGGGTAGCAATAATTTTGCAAATTGGTGACTCGAAGGCCGAAGTTGCTGACTCCGCCTTCTGCCACGCCCATTTTTATGCTTCAATACATTCTTTACAATAGAAGAGAAATTAAAGCATTTGCATTGAATTGAAAGAATTTTAGTTAACAATGATCCCAAAAATACAGTACCGATTGGAGTGATCTAACGCCGTGCCAGCGCCTCGGATCGATCGATAGGGGGGGCGTCCACGTAGCGCTGACACGATACTGGCACGGCTCTAGCACGAGATTTCGAACGCATAACTTTCGCGCGGAGTTCGCTGCCTTCAACCTCAAACCATGTGCTACTGTTGCTCGCAATGTTTATGTAAGTATAGCAGTTAACGTGCGATGGCATACAATGCTCGGCATTGTCTCCGTCATAGCAGTGCGCAAAACGCACACGGGATCTGTGTACACAGGTGGGAGTGAAAAGGCTCTTGTTCATTGTACGAAAGATGAGAAACTCCGACAGAGGAAAAATGAGGGAAATGAGTTTTGCGGAAATTGGAGGGTATCTAGCGTTTAAGATATAGAAGAATGGCTTGATGAGCATAAGGGGTCGACATAAATCCGAAAAGTGCCGCAAGATTTCTCAAAGTGATCTGAATAAGTTCTTTGATCAATTATAAACTCACAAAAACTGCCTATCTATAATTCTAAGCAATCAGAATACTTTTCATTTATATTCCAAAATTGATGAGCATTGAAGGAGGTTTGTCGTGTTACCTACAAATTAGTTTGGCTTGAAAATTCTGTCGCATTATTTTCAAAAATTTATAACTTCTGATTTTTTCGACTAATTTGCTTGCTTTTATACTTATTCAAAAGAGCAAATCATGATTAATATAGGAATGTTTAACTGTTTATTGGTAGAAGACAAAGAAGAAAATCACTTGAATTTTGTTTTTTCTGTGTTTGTTCGTAAAAATCGGGAACTTGCACTAAAAGTCCAAGCAATCGCTATCAAAGGTTTCATTACCTCTTTCTGACTGAGCAAAGTTTGTCGATTGATTTCTATGAAAACGAAACTGATTTTTGAGGAAGCTTTACAAAACAGCAAGAATGATTTTTTTGCCATTTTTTCCGAAAATCTGAACTTTCGTGCTTACCCATTTTCTTCCTTTAGAATTACAATGTCTTAAGTTTGCAAAAAGTCTATGCGGCATCCTGAAAAAAATTTCTTGGGGGACATACTTGTCGGTACAAGTAGAAAGCTTTTTTGCCACTCTTCTTCTCTTCTTCCCCCCCCCCCCCCCCTCCCCCTCTTCATCCTCACTCGGCCCTCGTTTTTGCTTCATTTAGCTCCTGACAGTTTCTTTCTTTCATTGCAGCCAATCTTCCAGAGCGCGACTCGGGAGATAATTGCGCTCTTTCACATTTTTTTGTTGGTAGGGAGAGCAGTTTTCAGTTTTCTGGAGCAGGTTTTTCCAAGCTTTTCCAGAATGACATGTCTATCTAGTAGCAGTTAAGAGGTTATTAACCCTCGCTAAACTTTACATTCCTCACTCATGATTCTTCAAATTAATCATTTTCCTCAACATTTTCTTTCTGCTATACATTATCACTACTATCCAGTGTGTGGCTCGGAGTTTCAAAAGATAGGAGTGGGAGGGGGGGGGGGGGGGGAGATGGGTAGAGAGGGAACAGCACTTCATGCAGTTTCATGTAATGCAGAAAATTTCCTTTTTTGACGCTTTGATAAAAATCTCTGCTATTTGACCAAATTTTTTCATACAATTCAACAATTATAATAAAAGCCTATATTATCTTTAGAAATTAATTATTATTCTTTAACATTTATTTAAACGTTATTATTTTCATGTTAATATTTATGCCCTAGCGCCACTTCGTCCAAACAGCGCATTTTTTTCTTATCTCTTCTCTCCTCTTCCTCCTCCTCTCCCCCACTCATTTACATAGAAATCGTACTATACACTAATTGCAAGCATTCTTCTTCTCCTCCTCCCCCCCCCCACCCCCCGCCCATCCTACCTAACGTGATTTTTTTTCTGGACTGCAGCGGATGTTTACTCAAGCCGCAGATTACTCGGCGCCAAGCGTTACTTCAAGTGTTTTGCGTGTTTGAAGAACAGGCCGCTTCCCTCACCGTTTGGATGCCAAACACCTGAAGTAAACGGGAAGTTTTTTTGCCGATACTCAAGCAGATAGGAAACGGGTTAGATAGGAGTGCAAAAGAATTTTTGAGGGACTGGCTGCATGCTCCTTTCCCTTTTTGCTAAGATTTTAGATCGGATTTCACAACGCCAAAATTAGGCTCTGTTTTTGGGGAATATGCAAAATTATGGGAAAAGGGACTGTTTGGGTAATATATGTCTAGGTAACCCTGCACGCTACTACCATGCGAATTATCACGTTTTTAACTACAGTATAATTTAAAACAAGCCATCCCCTAACATGAGCTTGTGCGTGTAAAGCGTTGTAGCTAGAGGAACTACAGAGGGGCCAAAAAATTTCGAATTTTCCAAAATTGTTGAAGTGGTGGTAACGGGAAATTTTTTGTCCAAATCTGTTTCCATTTTCATGTATCGCTAAATTATTCCTAGTTTCACAGAGAAAAAATAGATTGCATAATCTCTACACCTCAAGAAAAAAATCGCTTTCAGAAAGTTTGCTACCGAAACTGGAAAGAACTTGCACTTCTTCCATCCTCCCAATTCTCTCTCCCCCCCCCCCACTCCTCCTGCCTCCCAAAAGTCCGCGGCTAGTAAGTACTAATAGACTAACTTGTGAGTGATCTATTGTCAATTTTCACATCATGCTTTATTTTGATTCACCACTCCTCTCTCCATCCCTTCCCCCCCCCCCCCCACTCCCGGCTTTCCTCTTTGCCCCGTTTGAATGATATAGAAATTTCTTGCGTCTGGCTTTGTTTTGTAATTTTTATCAAGAAGACCTTCAAGGTAAATCAAGTTTCACAGCCTGAATCTCTGGTTAAATAATGGCACACATATCTTCAAAAGACTACGTTAAATTACCATCTACAATTCCCCCCTCTCCCAGCTCTTCCCTCCCGGATCCCCTTTTCTTTCGCTGAGCTGCCGTAGCTCTGGCTTTTTTCAGAGGTAACAAGACAACTTATCAAACTATACTGAATTGGTTCTTTTTAGTCTCAGAACGTGATCTTCGCCTGGTTGGTGATATTTTGTGTTTTTCTGTGCTCCGATAAAATTTTCTCTTAATCACACCTCTCCCTCCCCCCTCCTTCCCCTGAAAAAAGTTGGGAGAAATGCGCTTACACCCACGTTCTTCATCCCTGCACTTAACTGATGCAACCGGACCCATAAATCTTTTCAAATTATCGTGCGAATGATTCATTTACGTGTGCAATCGTTGCGCTCTGCTCTATCATTATTACAATTCTTTCATGCCCCCGTTTGCTCTTCCGTGGTCTTGTACTCGGAGGCCATCGAATTTTTTGGTCGTAATAGTTTCTTTTATTTGTTTACAATATTATTCGGATTCCTCTTTCGTTCAAGTTCCGGTTTCGAAGCCCCCATATAGAGGAAATCGCAAAGTTGCACTAGTTTGCTCACAAATGGTCCCGCCTGGTCTGTACTAGTAATAAAATTTTGCTTTGGACTTTACACACTGTCCACATTGCAAAATTACTTCAGCTACTTATATATAAGGTCTAAATGTCACTACGATAAAGTAGTAAGTACGATTACTGAAAAATCTTCCCCGGAAGCAGTAAAAAAATATGGTTCTGAGTTGTAAAAAGGTGAGAGGAAAGTTGAGAGGAAAGAAGTCGCAATTATATACTGTAAGGCCTGGGATTATGAAGCTGAAAAGAAAAGCTGTATGGAGTTAAGGAAAGAAGGGAGAGAGGGGGAGGGGGTTGCAGTTAGGACAAAACAACCTTGACCCAAAAGTGGGCGCATTCGGGATGAGTCTTTTCGAAGTCCGGTCACCTCCTTGTTAAAGCTTACCAAGTGCATACTTCAAACCAATTTGAGTATCCTCGTCACAATAACAGACACAGAAAATCCAAGAGATACTAAAGTATGAAAGTTAAGAAGAAAAAACGATATGTAATGCTTAAAGGCAGCGTCCAGGCAGATCTGGACCTATGGGGTTTTTACGTGAAAAGTACTTTTGGGGCCTTAACTAAGGCATTGCCCAAGCGGCAGCTCAGGTAGTGCTCTAATGGCTGAGATATTCCCCTCGAAATTGGCCCCCGCGAACGTATTCGCATGGATTCATGGCAGTTTCGCGCCAGGATCCACGCTTTGCGCCATGCGTGCGAAACACGGTCGCGGGGTCCAGTTTCGAGGGGAATATCTCAGACGTTAGAGCACTACCTGAGCTGTCGGTTGGGCAGTGGCTTAGCTAGGGTCCCAAAAGTATGTACTTTTCACGTAAAATCCCCATAGGTCCAGACTTGCCTGGACGCTGCCTTTAAATCAACAAGAGATTAAAGGACCGCGTTGCTGCGAGGTACCAAATCCCTGCGCGCTGAAGTGTACAGTGTCGTGCTGGAAAGGCTTCAAAAAGGCACGCCAACAGTGGTGTAATTGCACGAGTTGGGGCAGTCGTCGACGAATATCCTTTAAAACCTCAACAAATTGTATTCTGTTGCAGCTCCATTATATAATGCTTGAAACGGAAAGTTTGTTAGCGCACCAGATTGCAGAACTGTCGATAATTCAAAAAACATTGGGTTATATTTTTTACAAATGTGAAAAGCGTTTATATCTCCAGTTTGGGCTAGATATTTTGATCCTGAATGACTGAAGTATTCTTATCATGCAATTTGTGACCTTATTTCTCATTTTCAGACATACCCTTCGATAGGCGGTCAAACAATTCAACAATTTCACTGCTAAACACTTCGCATAGGTTTGCAAGGGATAGTCGAAATGGAACGAGTGAGTTAAACTTATTTTGATACTATTTTGTATTTTCTTAGGAACTCCAAGGTTATTGCTCCCTGAAAAAATTCAAAAAATTTTGTGTTTCATTCTCCCTTGATTATAGCAATAATACGCTTTACCCTGATGAGCAGAACTATTCTCTAAACTCGGATAGGTATAATTGCTGATGTGTACACCTTTCTTGAAAATGGATAGCTCCGCCCTTTTCACTTTCTTTCCTCCATCCACCGCCCATCAAGATTTATTGTTACTAGAGAAAGTACTAAAACCTCAATCTCTATGAGCACTTGAAAATTTTGCATGAAATTCTAGTATGAAATGAAAAGAATAATTTGGTGATGCTTAGGCCTCGAGTTCACGCGATTTGATCGCCGCGATTCAATCGCGACGAGACAACTGTTACAACATCATTCCATGCCGACCAGCTTGCATTTCGGTTGATACTTTTCCAGCCCGAAATTTTTTAATGTAAAATGAAAATGAATGGAGATCGCGGCGATTGAATCGCGACGATCAAATCGCGTAAACTCTGTTTGAGGCCTTAGAGTTTCTCCAATAGTTTATCGGTTGTGATTTCAAAAAATCAAAGCTTTTTTGATTATTGATTTCTTCTTTGATTTGATTTGTCCCAAACAGAAAGATTTTTCCCAGGAAAATTTTTTTGCTGATTATGAAAAGAACGAATATTTTACGATGAGAATATTAATCGTAAATTCACAGTCACTCGGCGAGGTTAGAAAGAGAAGAGCAAGCCGAAATGGGCGTGGCAAGGGTGTGGCTGTTCAGTTGTAAGCATGGTAGAGCTACTCAACTTGATAGTTTGCGAACAATTTCCAAAAATTAAGTGTAGACTTGGCTTCTTTCTTCGGTGGCAAGGTTTGGGGTTATCAAGAACCAAAAAGGGGGGGGGAATACTTTTCAAATTTGCAAAAAGGGGCGGCAAAAGTGTGTCTAATTATCTGTAGATCATGCATTAATTTTCTTGCTGTTTTTTCGCTCGCTGTAATATGATAGTCAAGTTGTACTTTTCCTTGAGAGAGGTAGGCGCCTCCGTTTTTTCATCCCGTTTTTCCCCTTTTTTTCAAAATCTTTTGCAACTGGAGGGCACAACACCCCGTGCCAGTGCACTTTCACTCCACTTAGCATTCACATTATCAATCACTCCTCTCATTAATTGTTTCTCGAAGAAGAACTGGTTGTCTATCTCTGAGAGTAGATGCCGCCTGATGTGTATTTCGATCTGCAATTTTTTTCACAAGACATTTCTCTGCAGCTTTTTTTAACTTCTCATTTTTTACTTTTTTTCCAATTTATATAACAAGTTTTTAGTGATGTCAACGGCATCGATAAAGAAGCGATGTTCTGTCAATGGAATACAGAAGAGTGTTCCGATAGATTCGGGTGGGAAACGTATGGTAGTCGAGTCACGGCTACAACCGCTGTTCGATCTGGATCAGTTCTGTTCTAAGGCTGATTTGGAAGAGGCATTTATTGGACGAGAGTGGGCATTTAGGTCTGGACTTATGATCAATTTTTTGACGTTGACATACATTTCATATGAAAAAAACCTAAGTTTTCGCATTCTTCGAAAGATTTTCATCTTACATACCGTATTTTTTCCTTCATCCAAAAATTTAGGGTCCACAAAAGATGTAATAAAAGGGATGACTACGTTTAGAGCCTAGAGTTGTGTGTAGGGAACTACGGATTTTGAGTTTTTCATTTTCAAATTGCTTTACCATTCCTTTACGTAGGGCTTGATTCTTAATTTTCTTCCTTTTGTAAATTCGAGTCAAATCTTCAGCATGAGAATCTATGAGAGGACTTGTTCAAAAGTATTGGAAAAAGCAATAGATATTTTTTGCTGTAAAAAAGGATTCAATCATTTTTTAACGAAGTGCTGAGAGAAAGGGAACAAGCACAAGAATGCAAGATATTTAGGTCAGGCGAAGTAATGAAAAATAAATAGAATATGGGATAGAAAAACCCACAAACTGTGTTCCACTGACAATGAGTTATCAATGTTCAGAAGGTTTTTTTTCAGAGAGATTTACGAGTCAGCTATCGTTGACAAAATTCCCGTCACTATAGTGGAAGGATGTCGGGGATCTGGTAAAACAAGCATTATCAATCAGCTTATTCTCAATTCAGCATTTTACTCTGCCAAGGTCAGAACAGACTGAATTTGAAGTGGCCACACGAAAATTGAAATTTTGCAGACATCAGATACGATTGACTCTGGTTGTGTGCCTGATGATGGTACCATGTATAATTCGAGAAATTATGAATGGATGAGAGCAGTAGCTACACGACTAGTTGCATTCCATATTTGCAACATACAGAGTGTGAGTTAGCAAACTGTCCGTGCGGTAGCTGGAGGGGAGGGGCAGCTCCGCCCCTAGTGGCAAGCTCCTTCCACTCGGCCAAGCTGCCATAATTGGATGACTTCATGGACTTTGTGCAAATTTGGGCCAGTTTGTTTAAGTAGGGGGAACTGGTCACTAATCTGAGGAGATCCGGATCACGGGTAGCGGTCGGACTTGGCGGTCTTCGTGGCCTCTTCCAGGCCCTTTGTAAGAAGGGACTTCTTGTAGATGGCACCGCAGAGGGGAGTTTGCTAGGCAAGGGGGGGGGGGGACAAACAGAAGGAGGAAGGGGAAAGGAAAATATCTCTCGCAAACTCACTTATGTACACATAGTACCTAGACTCATAAAGAGTAAAATAAATTAGATTAGAATTTCCGAAGGCAAAAAAAACGATGGGCGAAGGTCTCGCGATAAATTAACTTAGCACACCAATGATCGGGGCTTCAAGCTATTTACCAGCTATTTACGTTTTGCACATTCGTATTGCTGTTTTCCAATTTATAGTTTTTTTGCTCTAAACTCATGTTTGTGGAGAATTATTAGTTCTAAATTACTCGTTACAAGTGCACATACTCTAATTGCAAAGTTCTTCAGTCATCGTCCTGCTCCATTCCCGAATTTGTCTGCAACCTAGGAGCATGGCTGTCGCGATCCCCGATCCTGAAGAGTTACGCTGATATTCTCAATAAAGTATGTAGTCATGTTTTTCAAAATGCTTTGTGAATGTAAAACTTCGATGTTTGTTTGGAAGAAAATTCTGTTTATAAATTGAAAGAGTTATGAAATTTTGGAAGTGAAATTTTTTGAAATTCTACCAAAAATTATGTTTATAACGATCATATTACATATGCCATGGATTCTTTTTGAATGAGGTTTTCGAAGAATGTGTTCTTGCCCTCAAATAAACATTGTGGTTCAGAATGAAGAAAAAGAATCTCTGCTAAAATTGGATGAATGTATCAAGCACAATCCACTCCACGTATTTCGTACATCTATCGCCGAGCCATTGTCACAACTTAGCTGCTCAGACCAGGTAAAAATCAAGGAATGTCATTTTTAGGGCTAATCAGGAAATGGGTAGTTTCTGGCGTAGAAACGGTCACTAATTTGATGCTTTTAGGGCTGTTTGGTGATAGCAGTTGATGGTGTGGATGAAGCTGAATTCCACAGAAGCGAAGATGGTCGATCAATAGGTTTACTTTTTTTCCTGGAAAATATGTTAACAAGACGTGAACAAAGGAGCTGACAATTAGTTTGAGTCTTTATGCTTTTACGAGAGAACTTTACCAAGTTCTGACACAAATTTGTTTTGAATATGGAGAAGGCTCATCAGAATTCTTTGATTTTGAATAGCAGCTTTGAATGACATCCATAGCCTGGTATACCCAATAGTTCGTATAGTGGGGTGCCGACAGTGTTTGCGCGTGAAAGAATGACTGTCAAGTGCACATTTTCAGGTTTTGCGAATTGCCACCATTTTTTGCTCACAGATGTTGTCAACCAATGAGAACGAACATTGAAAGCATGCTCGAAGAAAAATCTATTCCTTTCAGAATACTATAGTCTAGAAATGGACTCCTAAGAACCATACTTTAGTCGTATTTGTGTCTCCCCTCCCTTTCGAAGAATTGCGCTGCAAACCACAAAAATTCAACCTCCGACCGATCCTTTAAACGTAATTTAACTCAGGCGCGTTTGCGCTCTATTACCAAAACCAAGGCCATGCAAAGGCATGCGATTGATAAATATACGGAAATTAAGCATTGGGGTGGACGCCGCCTCAGTATAAGATTATGAGTGAATTTTTTTGTCCATGATTGAAGTAATTGTTCAAACTTCATAAATCGAACTAGTTTTCTAAGGTAAAGTTCACAATCGAGCGAGTTCTTTTACAGCCACTTTTATTTGCAATCTCGTCGCACATCTTCCACCCTGGGTACGCTTTATCGTCTCATGCAATGCAGATACTTCACTTTTATTCGACGAGATAATGACGAGAAGAATCCGAATAGGTAAGCATGAACAACTTAGCTCTTATAGACACACTGAAATTTTACATCATATTTCAACTACTTTGCAGATGATATTGCTCTAGACGAACGAGTAGTTAGAGATAGTCGAATGCTCATCGAATATCGTCTTTCAATGGTCCCTGAGGTACGCTCCTTACAATTCCCATATCTATATTGAATGTGGAAGGTGGTAAGGACAGGGTCCGGCACGAGTCCGATGATATTGCTCTAGACGAACGAGCTAGGCTTTTTGGAAACGAAGTCCCCTCTGACTTTTGAATTTTACGAAGCTTCCTTGAGCCTTGCTCTACCCCTCCCCCTCCGATTGTTGGTGGATTCCCGCATACTCACTTAGTCCTTGACAAAATTTACCTTCTGCGAGCTGGACATCTCACAATCTTAGGTCAAACTCTCAAAGAAAAATCACAAAATCCACAGAATTTTGCTCCCAGATCAAGATAGATCACGAGCAGAAGAAAGAAGAAGAAAGAAGAATAAAAACAATTATCAAAATATTGAAAAAAGTTAGAATTGAAAATGCAAATTTAAGGGAAAAGAACGCAGAAAAGCTGACGCTAGGGCGCGATATCTAACAAGGCGATCTCCGAAAGAATGAGGGTAAAAAATGCCGGACAGGAGGCGATATGAAACTGCCCCTATGCTCTGGGATAGATTCTTGAACGGGGCATCCGTCCATGCTGAAGAATTCCGAAAGCTATGTGAAGTGACGGAAATATATGCTCCAGGATCTCAGATCGTCTGGTGGCCGTCTGAAGACGGACTAATTTTGGAAAAGGTATCACTTCACATAAGTTTTCAAATATGTTTACACATTTCTTCCGCAAATAATTTTCTATGTATACGGTTCAATTTTGGTGTCATATGGTTCTGTGTGCGCTGTAAACAGCTATTTGTTTAATTTAGCCTTGCTTTCAAATCGCGCGCACTTTTCGCCATACACGATAGAGCATGTCAATTGTGTGAAACCTGTCCGAAAAGCTTGTCTTCGACTAAATGGCGCTTATCCTTGGTAAACGGCTCCGCAAAAAAGATATCCCCTTTGCTTTTTGCTCCAAAAACGAAGTCATCCTGCTTGCGACGATCTGTGCCGAGCCCTGGGTAAGGATCTGCCAATTTTGAAGTTCGCGCTCAAAATATATGCTCCGCCTTTGGCTTTCTTCTGGCGGGAAAAAAGATTTGCAACTGGGCCAGACCGGTTCTAACACGATATATCCGAAGCGCGAGATAGGCGAGGCTTAGAGTAGCTTGTTTTATGAGCATCCCCCTCCCTTCCTCCTCACGGGTGCATCTCATTTTTTTTGCAATCGATATTGATATCTAGTCTAAGTCGGGGTCAATCACGAAACTTCTATATTCAGCTCGACCATCACTTACTGACAAATGCTCGCCGATCGATAATCGATCCGTTCGGGGATCTAATCGATCGAATAGTATATGCTGCAAATGGCAATTTGCTCTATATTCGAGCACTTATTCGGTAAGTAATCACAATTTTTTGACGATCTGCAAGACTGCATCTGGATACTAAATTTTTGGAACTTTATCTTGTGATCATGAAGTCTCTAAATATTGGAGCTGGTACCAAAAACATTTAATCGCACTCGTCTGCGCCTAAAATTTGTCAAGCGAAAACTGGTCCCCATGACTTATTTGTTTGCAGACTCGTTGAAACTGGACGTTTGCCAGTTAGATATCTTATGCAATCAAATCTACCCATTGATGACATCGATATGTACGGCTTGATCATGGAATTGACATTCACGTCAGTGTAAACTTTTCATGGCGCGTATGGTTTACTACGGTCATTTTGTTTTAGTTCACCAAGCATTTTCGCCAGGGTTGTTCCGGTGTTGAACGTATTCTTGGCTTCTCTTCGTCCACTGGATAGGAATAGATTGCTAGAAGTGCTAAACGCAGCACATTCAGATGTACCAACGATCGACTCGCAGTTGGACGAAATGTAAGTTCTGTTTATGTGAATGTTATTTTGAAATTATTTCAGCGTAAATTTTGATCGTTGTTTTTCCCGCATTTTTTTGCATTTTAAGCACGATAAGTTTGGCAACGTATGGCTTCGACTAGCTTATTTTCGGCTTAATCAGCACAGATCGAGATCTTGAAAATCATTTCGAGGAATCTTGATAATGTCCCAAATATAATCATTTCGACTTGTCAGGGCATTTTTTCAAAAATTATATTATATTATTGGCTTCTTCTGTTCGGATCAGTAATTCTAAGAAAAATCCCCAAAAATGAACTCATTTGTTTGGAAGTAGGACTCTCAAGATTCTTCTAGAATGAATTTTCTTTGCGTTCTGATTTTTTTTTCAACCGTAGAAACTCGATATATGAGGAGAGATGGGCAAAAAATTAGCTTTGAAAGTTTTTTTAAAATCATATCTTTATAGGCTGGTGTTCTGTGACTATTGAGTCTCAACGTTATTTTTTTCTAGAGTGCAAATAAAATGTTTGAAATGGCCCATTTGTATAACTGTAATTTCAATCTAATTTTTGAATTCTTCTAACCTTCTTCCTCAAAATGCAACTTGGTGATCTAATCAATTGTTTATAGTCTCACTATCCTCACTCCACTTCTATCGTTCAACGCTAATGGCTCGATAACATTTCACGATACAGCTATACGAGATTGGCTGTTGAAAAATGCGAATCATTCGAAATTTTGCTCAGATGCTAGGTTTGTGGATTCAAAATTAATTCGGTTTCGATTACACTTGAAAAAAATAATTTCAGGCATGGACATATCTTACTAGCACTTCATCTCACTGAACTTGCACCTTTGAACACTTCGCAAACTTTTGAACTTACACATCATCTACTGAAAGCTCATCCTTACAAATATATGCATGGAAAGTACATCTCCGAGGTAAGGGATTTTGTTTTTTGATCCTGCAAAAACTTGAAAAATGACAAAATTTAGTTTACCTCAACCAAGGATGGCCAAATCCACTGGGTAAAGCGATGCTCAGAAGATATCAAAAGATCGTTGCTGAACCATAGAAATATGTATTTCCCCAATACAAAGGTAAACTTTTTTCATAAACACAGCTTCAGATGTTTAAAAATTTATTCTAGGTCACTCAGCTACTTTTTATGGCCGGAGCTGATGTCAATGCTGTGGATCCATCCAACGGGCTTACAGTAATGCATGAAGCTGTAGCTGCTGGCAATGCACATCTCGTATCGCTCCTGCTAGATCAAGATGTTCCAATCAAGTATGAAAAAGGTACTATTTCCTTTTTTTTATTCTTTTGAAGGTTTGTTCTAATTACTAATCTTCAAGTTTTGTAGTTTTTTTTCCGTATCATTTGATTTTCGCAGATTTTTTTTCTACAAGACCTATTTGAGAGTAAGAAAGGCTCTATTCTCTTTGTTAGCTCATCAATTATAACTTATGCATAATTTTTAGCTCCGATTTGAATAACTGCTTTTTCAGAAAAGTTATACTGTATAAAAATCCGACAGTGCTCACCGCTTTTTGCAATTCTTTATTTTTGTTTATCCTTATTCTTTGGTAATTACACTCCAGTTATATTTGTTCACAGCTTTAGTTAAGGGATACATTTCTTCCGAATGAGTAAGGAGTCAGCCGCTTGCTCCTTTTTAGGATGCTTCGCAGATATTTTGCAACTGGAGCCTTCGCGAATTGTTGTCATAGCTAATTTAGGTTTTAGAAATTATGTGATTTTAAGAAAGAAAAAAGTTAATTAATTTTTGATTCAACTGGCTTGGCGGTTAGAAAGCGGGGCTTTGTGACCTAATTAAAGCCGCTCGCACCACGCAGTCTGCGTATCTCTTGCGCGCGTGCTCTCTGATCATTATCTAGCCTTAATTAGGTCATAAAGCCCCGCCTTCCAGCCGCCGAATCAGTTCAGTCAAAAGATATACATTTTGAAGACATTTTTACAAATCCATGCTACTTCTTCTTTTAGGAAAGGCAGGAAAAATGCTAGAATTGTTTACAAGACTGTTATCAAGGTTCAAAAGAAAACCATGGTATAGAAAGCATGAATTCAGTGCAAAAACTTTGATTCAAAAAGTCAAAAAATTGTCACATTTCAAAACAATTCATTTCGAGCAGTATTACGGTGTTTTATGGTTACAAAGTAAGCATAGCTGCCTTTCGCATCTTCTTTCCAGGAATATTATGAATGTGGTAAATTTTTCCAGATCCATCCATTCTTACCGTAGCAGCACAACATGGACATCTAGAGTTACTACCACTTTTAGTACCTCTGGACGGCATGAAAACAGCTGACAAAGCGTTGGAAGAAGCTGCTAAGCATGGGCATGTGAAGGTGGGGACATGCTCAAAGATTGACTGTATAGGAGAACAGCCAATTCTAGGTGATTCGATATCTTCTGGCGCAAAAATGGTCGAACGAAGAGCAACGAAGATTAGCGATTACAGATGCTATGGTTGCAGCTTCCGGTGCAGGTGTGAAGTTCGGTTGTCAAAAAAGAAGATGAATTTAATGAGAAGGGAAGAATCCAACAATAAAATGCAGTTAATGATAGCATGACTTTTGATGCGGTAAAAGTGGGTAGCATACCTACTTAATCACCACTAAATTATTTGATTATTGATTCTTATGGTTCAAAGAAATCCTAGCTTTATCCAGTATCAAAAGGTCTCAAAAATCTTGAAATCACTGCCCACCCATATTGCGGTTTCTGAAATTTTGATCCTATAAAATAGCGCTGCCCTTAACTAGGAAATAGCCAAAATCCCGCTGCATAGAAATTGGAAGCGAGAAAATTGCTTCAGAAGGTAAAAGCGACCTAAGCGGCTCCTCCCATCAGTGGGTGGTCTGATAATGAGCTCCAAAGCGGGCTTTGGGGTAGGTAGAAATATCGAAATAAGAAACATAAAAAGGGCGAATTTTTTACAGTTCTAGATATGATAAAGCCCGATTTTGGACATTCGTTTTTAGACCGCCCACACTGATGGAACGAGCCACTTGGGAGGAGCCGCTTCTAGCTTCCGAAACGATTTTAGCTTCAATCTTGTTTTGCAGCGGTACCTGGGCAATTACTGATTAGAAGTCCCACTATTAAACGCCATCAAAACCTTACCAGTCTCATCTAAAATTGGGCGGATGGTGCCTTTAAGGCCCTAGATATACCTCACGCGATTTCAGTTGCGACGCTATTTGGCAATACTCCAAGTCCAGGCTCATCGTAAGGGGTTCCTAAATGTACGAAAGATGGGGCATTTTATCAATCTACGAAAGTTAAACATGCTGTGCATTTGAGGTCTGCCAGTATTGAATTTAAAGACATCTGGCAAATTGCCACATTGCGTAAGGATTTAAATGACGTGGGGGTATGCCCACGGCCTAAGGGGCGTAAACCACATCTTCAACGAATTTTGTGCCTTTTTTCGAAGAAGTTTTTTTAAAAGTTTTGTGGAAAAGACAGGGCAAGACGACCACCAGACCTCAAGACTCACATCTTAATTTCAGGTCAGACTGAGGTTTGCGAACAGTTGGTGGACGCATATGACTGTCACGACTTCGCGAAGGCAATGTGCGCTGCTTGTGAACATGGCCGTGCCGATACCGTACAGTTCTTTTTGTCGCGGTGAGACCTGCTATTTATGTTTGCGACTTTCTATGCAAGGGTAGAGGAACGAACACCTCAATTGGGCACCGCCTCCGCGGGCTGCTGTCCTTTCGTCCTACTGTTGAGCATCTTGTTAGGACCAGTAGTCCGCGGAGGCGGTGCCTAATTGAGTGTTCGTTCCTCTACCCTCTATGCAACTCATATGATTCGATCGTAGGCGAAAAATCTGACCCTAAAATCTGATCCAGACCATAATCTTTCCAGGCGGGCAAATCGGCTACGGCACTGGGCGAAAGTTAGGAGTTGCATTTTGCTCAACCAAGAATGAATATCATGAGCCAGAGCTCGGCACAGCTGGCACCGGGTCAAGCCGGATATCGCTTTTAGGGATGAAAGCGAAAGGGATATTGTTTTCCCGGGGTCCAGGGCGGAGAAGAGCCCATGGATGCCGCCGGCATGCCACCGGCGTGCTGTCCATCAAACAAACAAAGGCGTTGTTTTCAGCCAAAACGCAATAGTATAACACCAAAATTGGTGTGTGCATGCGCGTTGGGGGATCCGGTCTATGGCCCAAAAATTTATGAAAACTTGTCTGAATGAAAGCTGCGCTGAAGTTTTTCCTGAATCAGCTGGCACCGTGTCAGCTGGGTGCTAGCTGAGCTGGCATCAAGGCTTTGCTCACATAAGTTTTCATACTTTTTTATATAAAATGTATCTACACAGTAATTTACATACAGAGAAGAAACAATTTTATAATGTTTTCTTTTTTCTTTTCAGCGTTATATAGCCATCTGAAAATTACTCAGTCTCTGCTCCACAGTCGAAAAATCGGCTTAACCGCCTAAAAAGCTTAGAAAGCTGTGAAAAGTTGTTCCATGAAATAAGCATGAATGAAAACCCTACTACATACTTTTACACAATTTAGAAATAATGGGTCTCCGAAACAGCTCAAAGGGGACTTCGTACGAAATTTTAAAATCAAACGGGACTTCGTTTTGAAATTTCCCTGGTGCCAGTTCGTGCCGAGCCCTGTCATGAGCTGCCACTCGGGCAGTATAATCGGTATTTACAGAATATTCAAACCAGATACCCATAATCGCATAAACACTGCCTGCAGAACCTTTATCGCACATTTTCCTTTTTTTTCAGAGGAGCTTCGTTATCCACAATGCAATGGCCAGCAGAACGTCCAGCCTTGATTTGTGCTGTAGAAAGCGGTAGTTGGGATCTTGTGGTAGCTGTGCTTGGGTTACCCGATTGTGATATCGAATGCAAAGATGCACTTGGACGAACACCAGTAATCACTGCTGCACGTTGTGCACACGTTGGACTCATTGATATGTTGGTGAACAAAGGTAAGTTACCGTAAACTGAAATTTTACGCGGGGTAACAAACATTTTTCAGGCGCTAATATCAATCAGAGCGACGATCAGGGTTGGACAGCTCTTATGCATGCAGTGCATAAAAATCATCTCCCATCAGTTCAGCTGTTGTTGGACAGAAATGCTGAGATATCGGGTAAAGACAAAACAGGTTGGTTTTAACTCAATGTCTGATTGGTCATTTCAACTGGCCAATAGCAGGAGAGGCGTGGCCAACATCCTCCTCGCTGTTGGTCAGTGCAATAACCAACCTTCTTTGTCGAATATTTATTTTTTGAATCTACTTCTTTATATTTAGGCCGAGGGTTGGCTCACATCGCTTGCGCTTCTGCGTCTCGATCGATAATCGATCGATTACTCGAAGCTGGGATGCAGTTTGAAGAACCGGCCAGTGATGGCATGTATCCGCTACAAATAGCCATCCAAAATCGAAATAAACCGGCCTTGGAAGCTTTGCTGGCTAGGTTCGCCAATTCAATCGATAATTCACTTCGAAGTCCAAAAAATCAATGATCGATTTTCTGCAGAGGTGCTCGGTTACGGTCATTGTCATGGCAAACTGCTATCGATTCATATCCGGAAGCACTTTTTGTCCTATTATCAAAATTGCTTGATGATGCTGGCATTCTATTCAGGTAATTTAATGGTATTTTACACGTGTGAAAAATTTTATTGATTTTTTTTTGCAGGAAGAAGAGATTTGAAGATGCAATGCATCGACTTCACTACGCGCTCAACAAATGCGATATGTGCTCGAAAAGCGATAAACTCTATGGTAAGGCTCATAGAAAAGTGATAAGTTCTTCCCTGCCAAGTAATTCTATTCCAGATATACAGTGTGGCCTGATGAAGGTTCGACAGCAAATCATTATTTCTATGGCGAGAGTACTCCGAAGACAAGGCAGAACCCAACAAGCTATCGAAATCTGCTCCAGCATCGACCCTGCAGCATGTGAACAAGTTCGATTTGAAGTGAGTCATAAATTTTCATGCGCATTTCTTTGGACAATGTTGATTCTTAAAGAATAATGCTGTTTCATTGCTGTGCTACTCGTCTTTTTTTATGCCGTGTTATCATGAGCAAAAAGGGGCCATGATCTGGCATGGGTCACTGAAATGTTGATATTCTGCGTAGTACATTTGTGAGATTACTTTAGAAATACGTGTTGAGGCCAAATCTTCGATGGTTAACTTAGGGGCTGGCATACTGATCATTTCCATTCTAATGACGCCTGTCCATGGATATAATAATCACGAATAGCACGTCAGATTACCTTTCTATCCAACGTTAGTGCGAATTGTGCAACCTCACAAGAAATTCCCTACCATGCGCATAAATGTCTTCTCGTGATTGAAATGTTGGAAAATCTTCTTGCACATTCTGTTTTTGAGCGCATAAATTGAAATCTATAAACCTAAATAAATAAAAAATAAACTGAAATAGCGCTAAATGTACACTGAACTAACTTTGATATACAATACCGCCGCAATTTTTGAAAAAACAACACGTTTTTGCCCGAGTCATGTGACATCACCATAGCGTGCCCATATCTCGCTTTCACATTGGACGAATTCTCAATCCAAGGGCACCATACGACTCAGCTCGGAGCGGCGCATCTTCTGATATTTAGAAGTGCCCTCTTGGATACAGTAGGAAGTCATATTTCGCGAATCGTTTCAGATTTCTGCTTACGATAGGTTACTGAGTGTGCCTAAACATTGCACTCACTGGACAAGCTACCGTAAGCAAAAATCTGAAACAATTCTTAGAATATGACCTCCCATTGTGTCCAAACAGGCACTTGTATATATCAGAAGATGGCCGCCCAGAGCCGAGTTGAATGGTTTCCTTGGATTAAGAATTCGTTCACTCTGAAGCGAGATATGGCCACGCTACAGTGATGTCACAAGAATCGGGCGACTGCGCGTAGTTTTTTCAAAAAAAAAAACGAGCGGTATTGCACATTGACGGACCGAAAAGGAAGAGGCTGCGCTCTCACCCCATCTTTCTTTTATCGGTCAAAAACTTGCTAGAACTGGTAACAAAGATTTTTCGAAGGACGCGGTTGCCACTTCCCTTTAATCAGGAGGAATTTCTGCTTCCTCCCTCATCAAAAAAAGCTTTGGCCCGTCATTAATTAATCAAGATTTTCCTCGTGCTTGTTTTTATTTGTGAATAAGAAGAGGAGCTAAAATTTGCGGATCTTCCACTTGTATTATCGCATATCCTGCCATATGCCGTACTCTGTTATTTTCTTTCAGACATCTCATCAACATATCTAATTTCAGAGCCTCTTGCTGCGAGCAAAGTGTCATTTTGATCTACACGACATAGAACGTTCTAAGGCCTGTGCCCGAGCGGCAATTCAACTGCGTCCGGATCATGATGAAGCTCGGCATCTTCTCAACACGCTTATGCTGCCATGCACAAACATCTCCAGATTGTAAACAATCATCACAAATCGCCTTAAACACAAACATCCGAGTGCAATAAGTATGAGATCTTCTATATGGAAACTTTATTATACGGGTAAATCTTCGTAGCTTTGAAATTTTTCTGAAAAACTCGTGAATTTTTTGATGTGCTATGTCCTGCTTTTTTAAAACATTACATACCGCTTGTCTTTTTTTCCATTGTGCATTGCTTCATTACGGGTAATTAGATTACGGACAGCAATTTACTACGTAATTAATAAATCTATATCAATTTTGTTGGAAGTACAATTTTCAGGTGTTTATGATTCATCAGCACATCTCTGGATAAAATCACTTCGTTGATTTACCACAAATAGCTCAATGTCATTTATTGATCGAAAATCTGTTGTCATCAATCGATAATCGAATTTTTGGTAAGCAGGAATCCGATTATCGACTGATGGCATTACTCAGAATTGAGATTGATGGCATCATGACAGAATAGATCGATTTGTTAAAGTGCACAAAAAGACCGGAACTGACATATTACCAAATGCCACATTTCAAAACTCATATGAAAAAGCAATTCTTTCAAATCTTCTCCCGTAGCTTCCATTGACAACAAAGTAATCAATAAATTGACGTTACTCTCCAAATTTGGTTCTATTATAAAATTAAATTTATCCCAACTTTTCGTGACCTGATTTGTAAAACGAAGTATGTTCATTTTATGACACGAAGCTTGAATGTCATCCAAATACACGACTGGTTACAGCAGTTTACGTTTAAGTTTCTTGAAAGATAAAAAAATTTGCATTCAAGGGTGCTGGCCCATGCTATGCCATGGTGTCTGCCCTACTGTATAATTCGGATACGGTACTTGATATGGTGGTGGAGGAGAGCCATACTGTGGCATTTGAATTTGTTGTGTACCTAAAGCGATTATGTAATTAAATGCAGAAAAATTGGTCTTACCGTAGTTGGGCTGTTGGTAGAAAGCTTGTGCGGGTGGTGGTGTTGCGGACTGTGTCGAGTATAAAGGCGTGGGAAGAGGTGCAGGCAGCAGATTCGGTTGTGGGGCTGAAAATAACCATTGTCTTGCGATGCGGAAGATGTGGAAAAAATTATATGAGTACCAAGAAAGATGTGCATTATTTTTCATGAATGAGTGATGAGTTTAGATAAAATAAGTGTCTTTTCAAATGCTTAGCAATGTATATGTAGATAAAAAAGAGCTCGAGTAATAGTGACAATCCTTTGGAACAAAACTTCAATGACAATGCCCAGACAGTCTAATATTAAGTTCAAGTTAATTTTCTCAAACAAGGTCCCTATCAAAGCCCAAGAGGCAGCTTACATTTCTCCATTATCAAGAAATTTAACTTCAGAACTCCCGCTTGGTACCGTATTCAAGAACGCTGATTGGTCTAACAAAAAGAATACGATACTGTGATTTATTCGGACGTGTGAGTCGTACGAAGTGCCACTTTTGTTATGGCTTAAAAGAACCCGCAGACAGTATCTACCTGGAACGGCCAATCATCCAAAATTGCCTAGACAATACTTTGAGCAAAGATCTGCTCCAAAGCTCATGAAGGCGTTCAAATTCTGTTTTTATTTATAGGAATGGGCACAGTTGGTGAAGGGCGAGTTGCAAAGCCAAAGAACCAATCGCATCTCAGAGGTGGGACAACCAATACAGTCTCCCACGTTTGCAGAAATGCTCCTAAGGTCCATTTTTAAATCGTAGCAATTCTAAAATGTCTTGAGAAAGCTACACTAACCGTTAATATATCCTTCTGTGTTGTATGGAGGTAAAGTTAGCGGTACAAATGAAACTTGAGCTGTTGAAAGAACATTCGGAGTAAAAGAAGTGCTTTCCGAGATTGAAGCTGAAGTCAAGATATCGACGCAAGATGATAGAAAACTAAGTTAGCTCACCTGAATTAACATTCTGCTGATACGTCCGCAGCAGTTCATCTTTTTCAGTTTCTCGTGCAAAATAAAAATCATTGACTTTTTCTTGTAGCCGAAGGAGGCTGTCAAGTAGATTGTGGCAGTGCTAAAAAACACATATGCGCTCATTCATATCATCTTCTTGGTTAACGTACCTTGATCCTTTTCGGGAGCTTACTGTTGAGTTCGCGGAACACTTCATAACCATATGCCAAGGATTTTTCTATGTGAGTCTTACCTATGGGGCTTTTCGAACTTGTATGGGCAGGAAATCTTGTAGTCCACTTCTAAAATGAAATTCTGCACCTCACTGATGGAGTTCCGCAGGGTGTTTGAGGAAGTTCCGCAGAACAACTGAGGAAGTTTGGCCGGTTTTGCGCTTTTCTCAACGTCCTGAGGGAGATTTCTTCTCAGGATATGCTTTTTTGATAATACACAAAATCCTACGGAACTCCTGCAAATGTCGAATGCCCTGCGGAAGTTCCTATGGATCATCTGAACCTGCATGGTTATCCAATTACCACAATTACATTACCTCTACATCATTCATGAGCATAGTCTGCTTTTTGAGACTTTTGTCCACTTCTTCTTTGATTGGCTCGCAAACCTTAAGGGTACAAAAACTTATTTTTTTGTCCAAGTTTGGCACTTTACCTCTTTCACTTTCTCTTTTATGATGTTATCATCGCTACAAAGCTTGAACTGACTGACTACTGGTACCATGTCGTCCGCAGACGTAGAAGTGCGCTTAGCATTGATTTCCTTAAAGATTGCTTCATAAGGAAAATGGTAAGAATTACGGAAGAAGTGGGTACCTTCAGAAGCTCAACCCTTTCACATTTTATCTCTTGAGCTTTATCTAGTAACTTCAATAGAAAACTCATTGCCTCTGGCGTTTTATCTCCTAATCGATTTGGTCGAGGTGGAAAAAGCGGATATAGCTCTTTCTGAATAAGGGGAACTTTTCACTGACGAAAACTTCGAATGTACCTCGGGCTTGCTGAGGGTCTCAATAGATTGCCAATTTTCGCCAAACTTCTTCTTCGATAGCTTATCTTCCTCCAAAGTGGAGGTCAATGCAGTGCGTGTCTTCGCCAACTCCTAAAACCGTAATAATATTGATATAGTCTAGCTAGTGAAGCGCAACCACTTCACCTTTAGGAACGGCTCAGTAAGTCCATTACTGGCTAATCGGTGGCAATTTATTCCCAGCTTCTGACGAAGTTCTTCATCACTTCGTTTTTCTTTGTCGAGAGTTTTCTCAATCTAAATTCTATAATTTAGTTTTGAACAGGTGCTTCTTAATTAGCCTACATCGGCGAGAATCTCCTTTATTCTGGCTCGTAGATTTGATACTTCATTAAGTCTTGCTTGCAGTTCTTTTAGTCCTCCTGCTGCCCTAATCTAAAACCATATGTATAAAGCGCAACATCTCAAAGGCACCGTCCACCCTAAGGGTCTTGAGCTTTTGGCAGCTTATGATAGTAAGAATTCCTATCAAGCCGATGTCTAAGCCGGCGCAAAATGTCGCTTTGGAAGCGAGACAATCGCTTTGAAGTAGCAAAGATGTACGAAGACTCCAAGTCGGCAACGCCCCAATAATGCTCGCCCATCCGCGCGCCCATCCAATCACCGTTCCGGAGAGCCAGCCTGCGAGTTTTCCAGAACGGGATAGTCGGGGGTTTTTGCGGATTCTCAACTTCTCGACTAATTCGTAATCGGGGACTTGAGAAGGCCACGGAAGAACCAAACATGGAAGTTGAGAATCTGGGTGGATGGTCCTTTATTCATCCTTGGGCTCGGTTGTGGCAGTTATGGACATTCGAGGAGATGTTTGAAAGGATCTGATAACTGGATCCATATGAGCTAAGGAATTAACTATCAAGGGAAGGATACTTGGTGACCGTGGCCATTCGTAACGACCTATATATCAAGAATGCAACTTTCAATGCTGATTCGAATGCTGTCTTCCATATCTGCGAAACGATAAGCTGGATGAAATCATGACTATTTTTTCATGAATAAACCGCGCTATTGCGGAGGGTCAAAATCATCAATAAATATTTTTCTTTCCTTTTCAGATGCTGAATACCCTTCAAAGTAACCTAGAAGAACTTTGGTGGTTTAGTTACCCAAAAGTACGCAAATTTCCACAAAAAAAAAACATAACTTCCTTCAAGATCGTTTCGCAGATATGGAGAACAGATTTAATATCAGCGTTTTGAGATGCATCTTACGGTATACATTGCATTCCAAATGACCATGATCATAGAGCATCCTTTCCTCGTAAGTCAGTCCAAGCGAGAGCTCACATGATGCTATAGGAACCGAGAATTACTTTAGACTATTGTTTACTACCGTATTCCTTGCGAGCAGGATGAGTGTCTTTTTAAGTACGGTACTGGACTAGAGATCAAGTTTAAACTACTTGGCACGAATAGCTTACAAAAGTCTATCGCTTGAAGTAATGGCTCAATCCAGACCTCCTATACGGTTCTCAGTAAGATTTACTCCCGTATTTTGTTTGGTCATTGCCTTCGAAGGCGAAATTGCTGCGCTTTTCCACAAGTGTATAGCCGTCTGCTCTTATAATTCGCGCCAACATCGGAAACCCAGGCAGAAGGAGTTTGATAAAAAGTTTTCCTTTCAAATATCACTAAACTGGTGTTGCATAGTAGTAATCGACGATTATTCGCAGCTAGAAAAAGAAATAGAAATCTGGTCTGTTGAACTTGAACTCACCTCAGCTGATTGTCGTCTTACTGTTTCTGGCACTGGTGACATCTCTTCAGAAATGCCAAGCGAAGCGACGATTCTGAACAGAAATATTTTTAGTCCACTCTCTTTATCGAAACTCCCAAAAAATCTGATAAGTGCAGATAAGATGATCCGAAGTCAATGGACTTCTGCATTTTGTTCATCATCTGTGTGCAATTCTGACATGTATATACAAAATGACTTACCCCTCCATCAACTCGGTATGCTCATTTAATCTATCTGCTTCCATCCTCAACTGCTCATTTTTCATTCTATCATAGTTTTGAGTAATATTGAGAACATTGGTAGGAATTACGCTTGAAAACACATCTAAAAACATTTTTTTATGCGCAAAAGTGAGCCCTTCTTTTTCCGTTTATAATTTGAACCGGACAAACCTTTAAATGCCGGATTAAGTGGACTGCTCAGAGGTATTGCCTTGACTAAAGTTGCTTTTGGCACATTAGGCAAAGCATGAAAGTCACCAATTTGGGCTTGGTACTAAAATCACGTTTTCACTAATCTCCGAAAATTGCTATTCGATGTGAAAATTTACGATGAGATTGTTCTCTTTCATTGCAGTTGAATATTCAATTTCAATTTCTAAGAAAATTTCACGAAGGCAGCCTTCGGCTAGGTAACGCTTTGCTGCTAGCAATTGTTCAGAGGCAAATTTAAGTCGTGTCATACGTTCCGCAATTTCTTGATTCTCTAAATTCACCTAGAAGAGCTAATTCTCTTTTTTCGCAAAACGTGGTCTATCTATACAATCAACCTGAGCCTGATGCATCTGAGCAATAGCTTGGAAACCGTAGGATTTTCCAGCAATTACGTTTATCCAATCCTGAATGAGAACTGCATATTTAGTTATATTTTGCAGGTTTGAACATACACTTCTTTCCCCCCCCCCCCCCCTCCTCTCTCCCCGCCTCTTTGCTTCTCTCATTGAACTATTTGCAGAAGGCATATCCATATCCGTAAGGCCTTTACCTTTTTCCAGTAACTCTTCGTCGCCTCCAAATTCATGATTTTATTCAAATCCGTATAATATTCAGCTGTTTGAGCAGAGATCTTGGCTAGCGCGGCAGGGTTCATTTTATCTTCAAAATCAGACCTTTTGCATATAGGCAAAAAAATCAAAAGGAACCCACCATCGTACGCTTTGGTGTAGACACATTCTTGAGCTTGTGCCAGCATTAGGTTACAAAACAGCGATAGAATCTCTGCACGAAGATCGGGAGTGCATTGTTTTACGAGAGTATGTTGCATAACATCTTTCAGATGTGCAAAAACTCCTAAAATCATCTCAAGAATATACACAGTTTGTGAAACTAATACGCATGAGCTGAAAGCTGTACAACTACAACTGTATGATTATCCTTTTCTCAAAATTTTGGAGTATTGAACGCTCAAAGATTTAAAGAAGGCCCCAAAATCTTCGCGAAGACCTGGCTGAGGCCACGCCCCTTTACCTGATGAAATTTTTGGGCCTCTTGCACCAACCTCTGTCCATCCCCACTTCGAGAAAATTCTGACAAATGCGCTTCCTAATCGGTATGAATTTAATGAATTTACTGCACACTAGAGGCTTACCAGCGCAAAATTTGCTTTCTCTCTCAGATCAAACGAACATGATTTGGACAATTGTTTCCTTCAAGAACGACAAACGATGAATTTTTTTACCTGCACTCTGCTGGAACAATTTTGCCGACATTCTTTTTTCCTCATCAGTGTGCATCTGTTGTGAAGAAGCAATTTGCGAAAGAAGAGCACCGTAATTGAATAAAATTGCTAATCTTTCTACGGTAATATCAACTTCCATGGTATGAGACTGTAAAATAGGAGTGTGCGTAACAAAGCAGGGTATTTACTCTAGATGAGTGCGCAAGAATTACTCACCTTTGCAAGGAATGACTTTCCGCTATCAAATGCATCTTTCCATCTGAATCCTTCTAGACGTGGAGATAATGAAGTAATTAACTTACATTCAAATGCAGTGAGTTGATCATAGTATCTGTAGATCGCTCAACTACATCTTGCACAGTTTGGAACCGCAAAAGATAGAATTAAGGACTCACTCCGCAACGGATGATAAATGCAGCTGAAGATCATGTGATGATTTTGTACAAGCAAATGATCGCAATCTATTGAAAGCCTATATCAGAAATCACTTATTAGCTGCCTTGCTTTCGAGAAAAGCTTACTTCAATAGCAGTTTTGAGGTCTGCAATCTTGACGCTTAAGTTTGTACTTGAAGCTTCGAAAAATTTTGTAAGTGGCTTTATGAGGTCGACATCAACAGTGCTTTTTACTGGTATAGCAAGGAAACAATGCTGCTTCGCCTGCAAACTTTCCTTACCTTAGATTTTGTATCAAATGCTTGATTTCAGATGCCGCTCACAAGGGGAGGAATACCAACATTAGTTAATTGAAGATGGCATTGAGTGGCTTAAAGGCAGTGTCCCGGCAGATTCGGGTCCTGGGGGATATACGTGTGGTGGGGTTCCTGGTCACCCCATCGACCTCCAGGCGCAATTCGGCTTGGTGAGGTTCCCCCTGGGCCGAGAAAATGGCCCTTGAACTAGCGCGCGCAACCCCAACTGGCACGCGCTTGGACGGCCTTCCCCGCCTGTTCGGTGCGGGACCTCACGAGCGCTCTCCCCCATGATGCATGCTATCCAAAGCAAGAATTACAGACGGCAGGATCTTCGGCTGAGGACCTCCCCCAACTTTTCATTAAAAATCTCGTCCAAGCTGCTTTTCTGGAATTTGGAAAACGCCCTAAAATCGGCCTTTTCAGCCCGTTCAAAGCTCAAATTCGGATTCTACGTGGCGAAAAGGCCCAAAACATGCAAAAAGGTGGAGGTGCAAAATCTGCCGGGACACTGCCTTTAAAATCAGCGAAAAGCTCTAAAACAACTATGCGATTTCCATCTGCTTTGTTTGTTCCTTACAAACAATATACTCAATACAAAAATGAATTTCTACTTTTCGGTGTTTTTGTACAGCTTTTCGCCAATTTTCGGGCGACCTAGACCTTGACAAATTTGGACATTTGAACGCCCATAACTTCTTTCGGAAACTTATTCCGCAAAAAAGAAAAGCAGATTTGGAATCAACGTTCAGAGGCGCATCTAATGATATACATCTCATCTTCAATCGCCGAATAATGTTGGTATCCTTTCCTGGTCAGATGAGCTGCAAAGCACCAAATTTTCTCAGCGACTTGTAGGCAATCACCAAAAATTTCCTGATCTTCACTTTCTCGACCTAAAGTGCGGTTCATAATTATACGAACACCCCAAATTTTGAAAGTTTTTGCACTTTTTGAAAGAAACTCAAGAAGCCGTTGGTACCACGCGTTAGAGCACAGCCGAAAACGGTATACGATCCACAAGAATGGAGATCGATTTCAATCTTAGGAGTGTTTTTGCGCCTAATGCGAATTTTTCGCGGTTCATAATTATACGAACACCTCAAACAAAGGTCCATTTTTCATTCAAGATTGCAATCATTTGAGTCCAAATTTTTTTTAGAGTTACAGTAACAAAGTCTGACATATCTGCCGCACACTGAACCCAGTGCAGTTCAAAAAGAGGACCGTTACTTTTTTTAGAAGGCTCTAAATGCCTCTGGAGTGACTGCGCTATAAAAACATCGATTCTTCTGTGATTTACGCGCTCTAATTAGCTTTTATCAAAGCTGTGAGATAAAATAAGCTCTTTCGATAGGTATTTTGTTTGGCGCTTGGAAAATCTTTGCGTTTTCGTGCCGTTTTTCAACCAAGTTCCAACCTTACCCTAGAGTTAGCACGATTTCGAGCCTCAAAACTCAGCTTCTAAAGCCGTACAATGAAGTAAGCATATAGTATGTAGAAGCTCACAAGACTGTCTATTTGGCTAGAAAAAATCAGCAGCGTTGAGCGTTTGTTTTGGCCACGCAGACGTCATTTCACCAAAACCACTGTTTTTACTATTGCAATCACACCTTTATTTGGTTTGTAGCTCCATAGCCTCAAGATCAGTTCTACAAGAGACCCAAAAACTTTGGTACGGATACATCATAATGCAAACAATACAGCTGCTTCATATCGAATGTTTGCGCGAGAGAAAAGCTGAGTTTTGAGGCTCGAAATTGCGCTAACTCTAGGGTGAGGTTGGAACTTGGTTCAAAAACCGCACGAAAACGCACAGATTTTCCAAGCGTTAAACAAAGTATTCATCGAAAGTGCTTATTTTATTCCATAGCCTCGGTAGAAACTAATTAGAGTGCGTGAACCACAGAAGAACTTCTGTTTTTCGAGCGCAATCACTCCAAAAGCACTTATTGTTAAAGCCATCTGAAAAAAGTAACGGTCCTCTTTTTGAACTGCACTGGGTTCAGTGTGCGGCAGATATGTCAGACTTTGTTACTGTAACTCTACAAAAAATTTGGACTCAAATGATTGCAATCTTGAATGAAAAATGGACCTGTGTTTGAGGTGTTCGTATAATTATGAACCGCTAAAAATTCGCATTAGGCGCAAAAACACTCCTAAGATTGACATCGATTTCCATTCTTGTGGATCGTATACCGTTTTCGGCTGTGCTTTATCGAATGGTAACAATGGCTTTTTGAGTTTCTTTTAAAAAGTCCAAAAACTTTCAAAATTTAGGGTGTTCGTATAATTATGAACCGCACTTTATTCTGGAGCTGAATGTATATAAGCATCTTAAAAAGTGCTAATCAAAAAAAAAATTACGAGATCATTTTCAAAAATCGTGGACAAGTATACTTCGGCGCTGCCTTTGTCGAAAGCAAGCATGAACATGTGAACAGTACATCTAGTTGTGCATATATATAAACAACTTCAACGGCAAGGAGATTGCAAGGAGACGGATATATAGCACACTAGAGCGAGCGGCCCGTATAAGTGACCCCGCCACTCCTCTTTAAACAGGTACTGTTTGGAGACGGTCTGTGCAGTAGTTCTAGTTTTCAAGTTCCAGTATTCGAATGTGGCCAAGGAAGTTCAAATTTGTCCCGACAAAATGGGGATATCCTACTAAGTGGCTAGTGTGTATTATTGGGGCCTTTGCTTAAAAACAGTGTCCGGGCAAAAAGTCGATTTTGAGATTTTGTGCTTACCCGGGCCTATTCGCTATGCTGAATCCGAAAATTCACATTGGAAAGCGCGAAAACGGCAAAAAAGGGCTCTAACGCAGGAGGGAAGTGGGCGGAGTCCTCCCCACTGTGAATTTCGCAGTCCCAGCTTCTGGAGCGACCTTCCCAATCCCTCTAGCGCCCTGAGATCTCCACCGACCAGGTGCGAATGTATGACTTGAAATCGGTACCGAGAAGATCGCTCTGGAAGCTGGGAGCGTGAATTCACAGTGGGGAGGACCTCGCCCACCTGCTGATTTCCCTCCCGTGTTAGAGCCGTTTTTTGCCGTTTTCGCGCCTCCAATGTGCATTTTCGGGTTCAGCGTAGCGAATAGGCCCGGGTAAGCAAAAAATCTCAAAATCGAGGTTTGCCCGGACACTTCAAAGGCAGCGTCCTCCCGCAACATCCTCCCGGCAAAAAGATGAATGCCGGGTTTTTGTGACGATGTTAAAGTAGACCTGACCTCCTACCTAAGCGATCACTGAAGTTCGGAGCGAAGGGGGGGGGGAGGGTCTACCAAACCCGAAATTTGCTCCGAAAGTGGCCCGAATTTTACGGTAGGCCCGGACGCCCACACAGCAATATCGATTTGCAAGGTCAGAGTGCGTATAGCGCACACAGTCATGAGCGCAGAGTCCCGCAAAGACTCTGCGTCTCTACCTTGCATGCATCTCGCACTCTTCCGAACCTACCGTAAGATTCGAGCCACTTGAGGGGCATTTGTGACCCCTTTTGCGCTGCAAACTTCTGTCGTCGCGTAGTTAGGGGGTCTACTATTACATTACTACCGGAGCCAGGTACCCCCAGTCTGGTGGGACGTTTTTGCTTCGAACTTCCTACCTTTAAACGGTAGGAAGTTCGAAGCAAAAACGCGGTCTATGAAGCCAGTTTTGCTCCAAAAGCGCCACCTCTCCTTTAGCCCTGATGCTGTCCATCCCCCGATTTCAAACTGCCAGCTACAGCGCACATATTGCACACATTATGACGATAGGGTAAGAGCAGAAAAGGAGGCATAGAATGCAAGCATTGTGCTCGCTCATTGGAGGTGCACAGTTGCTGATCTAACAAGGAAAGCATGTTTAGTGAAAATGATCTTTCTAGATGAGATATATACCGTAGTAAAGGTCATAAAATGCTGATTTCAAGTCTGCCTTCCTTATCTGCAGAATGTTTATGCGCGAGGAGTTATGAATGCTTATTGGAGCAAAAAACTGGATGTACAAGTACGGAAAAAATTGCCGTAGTACTTTTTCTAGCTTTCCAAGAGAGCAATGATAATCATCAGAGCACTCTATTTAAAAAATACTCTAAAATAAAAAATATTTCGCCCTTGGCTGCATCATTTGAGGGCTAGTAAGATTTTAGTTACTCATTTTATTTAAAATGCACATTCAATTTTTGGCCCCACAAAACACTCATAACTCCACGTTCATAGACGTTAAGGAAGGCAGATTTGAAATCAGCGTTTTATGCCCTTCAATAATGTATACATCTCATTCAGAAAGGGCACTATGACTAAACAAGCTTCTCTTGTAAGTAATCTTTCCTGACTTGGTCTTCGCTAACAAGCTGATGGCTCAAAGCTCAAAGAGCCACTCTAAATCACATTTTGGGTACTTTTCCGTTATCCTGGCCCTTCTTTTGGTGTTGCTTTTTTTTCTCTACCATATTTGGTCCCAACTTCAAAGGCAGTAGGGTCAACCTTCTGCCACCTTTCGAAGAAATTGACATCATATATATACATCACTATCAAAGTAAGTTCAATCTGTTTTCTAATCAATAATGACACCATTTCTGGTCCGACAATTCAAAAGCGGAACTTTACATCAAGAAAAATGTATCCTTTCCATGAACACGATAGATTTGTCCAGAACAGAAAAGGAGAACAGAACAGCCAAATTTACATTATCTAGTTGGCGAGAAAAGCTGCAGCGACGTACTTCTCCTCATTTATATTCTTTTCTGGCTGTTCACATAGCGGGAATAATTCGAAGAAAGATATTGAAGGTTTATTGCTGAAAACGATAAGGATGTTCTAATGAAGTTTTGGACGTTATACTTTTACAAGAAACTGCTGAACAGCTTATGACTCATCTCCAGTGCTCTCGTAGCTTGCCGGAAATGAGTTTTTGAAAGATGCGTCGCGGTACCAAAACGTGTTAGCTTTTTCCTGACACATAGCAGGAAGACAGCCTTTATAAATAACGAAAAAGATTTTCTACACTCAAATACGTATTCAATCAAAACTCTTCGAAAATGGTCCTGATAACGAAAAAGTACCAAATTTAAAGTGGAGTTGGGAGTAAAACTATATAGGGGCCTGCAGGATCGCGAGAGTAGGAAGTGCGTACGGCCATTGTGCCGCGCATGTCAGATGCGCGTCCGACGATTCAGGTAGGTGACAGACTTATCTTGTTTAACAGGTTCTTCGGTTCACCACCTTTTCTGTTGAACAGTGTGATTTGACCTATGAACCGAACGAACCGGCTGAAGCGGATAGGTCTGGCACCTGCTTTAGTGACATCAGACGTGCGCGGCGCAATGTCCGTACGCACGTCCGACTCTCGCGATCCTGCAGGCCCCTATACTGTATCTGTCAACAGCGATTGACTGGTAAATTAGCTCTGCAGCTCGCGGTTGTACGTATCATCTGTACCCCAGAAATGTTCCCATAGGTGCCATCAACGTATAAATGATTCGCAGCACGCAAAGACTGCGAACTCACTGGCGTCTCTGTGATCACGTGCTCTTTCGTTTCTTTTACCATCTATTGTTTCTCCCATGCACAAAGTACCTCGGTCAGACGCAGGCGCCCAGTCTTTGCGTGTCACGAATCTGGTGTAACTGCGTTTTGATCGCCTCGGGACCCAGCACAGTTGGTTTGAGGCCAAACGGAACTTCGTTTTTTGGAGGTAGAAGCAAAGGGGATATCGTAAACCTGTTAAACAAGCAGTAGGTTAGGCACAAGTTTTTCGAAAGCGACCCTTACCCCCAGGGAAAGTCCTCAAACGACCCCTTTTCCTTCATGTGACATTCTGGAGATCCTTTCTAGAGAGTTTCCAGATTTTTCAGAACTGTACACCGGTTTTTCTGTGACTGCACTTTACAATCACATTCATTTGACGGCTGATTTTATCTGATGGGCCTATTGAAAAGGCTACAATTTTTCTAGAGGTGGGGCGTTCGGCTCCAAATTTTCACTGTAGCAAGAAGAAGCTATGAGCTTAATACTTATAACAGAAATGGAGCAATCTCTGAATTTCGCAAGTTGTGCTTTTCCACCTTAGTTTTATATGATTCGCTAGCATAAACCTCGAATATTGTACAGTATGTTCGAGCTTACCTCGACTTGTTTTGGCTTTGTGGTGATCGGTGGAGTTGAAGCAACCGAGGTAGAAAACGCGTGACTAACATTCTGGCAGCGCTTCTCAATCCATTTTACGAAAGCGGTACGAAGTGCAGTTCCTACCATAGATTGGTAAAAAAATACTCCGTTATGAATACAAGAAAGCTGACTCTTCTCACAAGATAATCATGTTTGAAAATCATCTTTTTAGACGTTAGGAAGCACTACAAAATTTATTAGGTAGCGAATTTGTAAAGCTCGTTGAGGTGATTTGGCATGCTGATCACGGAAGTCATACCCAATTTACATAAAAAGCTTCTTTGCTGACCTTACGGTGTGTGTAAGTCAGAAGAATTGGAATTTGGCTGAGACTTCGTTGGTCAAGTTTATCAGCACGCTGTTCACGAAAGTCATTCCTCTGATAGAATTGTGAAATTCGCGGTTGAGCGCTTTTCTTTTTCACCTTATCCGATCGTAGTATTTCCTCACTTGAACAGATTCGCTCCTTGATTACGACCCCTCCCTTGTTCTTACCCCCAATACGACCTCAGGTCGGGCGCGCCTGACCCCACGCTCATCCATGCTAACCGTTAAGCTGGTACGTAAATGATATGCTCTAACGTATTCTTTCTCATCAAGCGCGCCAAATTCGAAAATGTGCTCAAATAAACAAATGGGTTGTTTAAGCGCACAAGCAGTCACGCGACCCCGAATTTGGGTTAAATGTATACAATACTATTCCAAAGCACACTGTGTAAAACGTTTCAAGAACTTAAGTGTCCCAACACCCGTTCCCGAATTTGTGATTAAACCATTACCAAACCAACTGGGTTGGTTTGAAGCATAAATAATGAAGGGTTCACGTAAGTTTCGAAACTTTTTGATTTGGACGATTAAAACGCTCAAAAATCTATCATATAGTGTAGAGAGCGACTCAAGTTATTGCCTCTTCTCTTTTTTTGACTGGAAATATACAGATACGCGTTGATAAATATGACGCTCCAATCACATGTCTGCCAAGGTTTCCTTTGAACTGGCAGTATATATTGTTCATGTTGTTGTTGTTGCTTCGAATTGTTGTTGTTTTATTACTAGTTGCAGTGAGGACTTCGTAGAAATTTGTGGAGTCATGGGGACTTCGTTTTCAAAATCCTCCAAACCAACGTATGCCGGGCTCTGGTCTCAACATGTCAACTTCGAAAAAGCGCTTTAAATTGCTGGACTTAACGTGTTAAAACGATCGAAAGGTAGCCGCGTTGATGTTACTAGTTGGAACATTTTTGAAGGGACAAAGCATACGTTCCTTTCCAGGACGAAACGCGTGAATTGCTCTGCGATGTAAGCGGTTGCGGCTATCATATTATGCACAAAGCTTATGTTTTGCTTTTTTTTCAACTTCTTCAAGCTTTTTCATGTTTGGTGAAGTCTGGCGCCATATATTAGCACAAAAGGCTCTGTTAGTCGCGATCCGCTGTGATCTACCGCTAGGTCAAGGTAGGTCAAGCAGCCAAGTAAAACTGTATTGGTCTAGCATCAATCAACGCCTTGTTGCAGAGTTTATATATTGAATGGAATAAAGCGAGACTCACGCTACTTTGATTTGTAAGTAGTTGAATTTGGGCGCTGTCAATTGTATTTGTCTGCTTGATACCGAACGCTCTTGCTAGTAGTGGACGATTTCTTGACTTCTGACCGTTCATGGAGGTTACATTGGAATGAATGGGTAACATACTTCACATAAATTATAAACACCACCATGTTTGCGATCTGACTGGAGTCGTAGCTTTACTGTCGAGTAAGGCCCCGGGCATACTTCACGCGATTTCAGTCGCGACGCGACTTGGCAATTCGCCAGAAGTCTTCAGATCCAACATTAGCACACACATAACCTCTAGTCATCTGTAACTTAATATGTGAGATTGCACACCAAGCCCTATTAGCGACGGCACCCATACTAGTAATTTCCCACTAAAACATTTTCTAGCCTAACAAAATGTAGAAAGGTGTTCTACTGACTAACGTATAACCAACTGAAACAAAAGAAACAAGGAAGCGAGGAGAAATCACTGGAAATGAGCAGGTTCTAGTTTGGCAGTTCGTTAGTTAGCGTGTATAGTGTGCACTAAGCATATTAAGTTACAAACGACTCGACGATACACACACATACACATACACACACACATACACACACATACACACATACACACATACCCACATACACACACATACACATACACACACTTAAACACACATACACACATACACACATACACACATACGCACACAGCTTCACAGCTTCGAGCTTCGTTTTGAGGAAAGCGCTTCAAATCAACGCGTGCCGGGCCAAGCTCGTAGTCATTCTGTGAGCATGCTTTGCTCTATCAGAAAGTGCACATGCATTTTTGATATTCTCGCTGCGGTTAGAAGAAACGCTCATTATTTTTGCACCAATTTAACATGATTTTTCTGTGTAATTCTCAGTTCACGCACATCTTTATGGTTTCTTGAGCGTTTCAAACAACAACTCTTCAGCTCTAAACTTTTCTAGCGGCGCCGCCTCCACACTGCACAGTTGCGGAATTTATTAGGACTCCTGAATCCTCTGCATCCTTCGCCATTTTTAGCACCTAAATTCACATATGTAAAAGCAATAATTATCAGAAAGGGAAATACAGCAGCATACCAAATTACAGTCTGGCACTTTTGACACTTTCATATCTAATGCTACTCTACCACTCTCATTGCGGGCATTCACACTGACCATACTTTCGATGTAAGGAATAATGTGACGCTTCAGCTGTCTTCGAAGCTAAAGAGAGAGGGATTCTTCAGTTACGGAGTCACGCAAAAGGAGAGCGTATTTGCCTCGTTTTTTGCAAGTTTGATGTATTCCTCTTCCCGACCCTTCTCATAGAGTACAGTCATGAAGAGAGTAGTAGTAGCCGGCTGTCCGGTTTGTGCAGGACGGCGTGCTGCCTGAGAATTGAAATCTAGATTGAGGAACTTGAAGCCTAAAGTAGTTAAGGAAATTCACCTCCAAATTTACAAAGAGTGTTAGAAGTATGATCGTCAGCATCTGGAAAAATGGTCAACGCGCATGCTTTGTATTTTTAGCCACGCTAACGCTTAATCACGTCTCAAGACAAGATGTGGACATTTCCTGACTTCAAAGTTGATATCTACAAGATAACTTAGATTTTGCATGAGGCAAAAGTACATTCTGTGACATAGTTATTCTATGAATATTATCTACTCCAAGATACAAAGTTACTCTATGAATTTTATCTACTCCAAGATACAACACTCATCCATACCGGTGTAGTTGATGAGTTTTGGATCAAGTTTGAAGCAACAAGAATGGAGGATGGAATTAGACATGAAGCGCATGGAAAACGGCTTTATACCAAATGCTGGGATGCAAATACGATTTCCAATCGCATATCAAAACGGAAAAATTTGAAATTTTAACGCTGCGCTGTCAATCCTTCAGACTATCAGGTCGAAAATTCTTTACAGGTTCCTTTACAAAAGCAAATCTTATATATAAAGCTGAATGTCTGTTTGTCTGTCTGTATGTCTGTATGTCTGTCTGTCTGTCTGTCTGTGTGTACGTATGTTCCGAATAGAAAATTCCATTTCTGAACCGATCCGGACCAAACTTGGCACACATACACTACGGGCCCCGGCGGGTGTCATAGGCTACTTTTCGTCATCGATCGATATCGATTTTATCGATTTTTATCGATTTTTTTGCTGAGTTCACCTACGGGGCTGGGAGTTGGCACAGGGGGGTAATCGAGCATGGGGATTCCGAATACAATATTGGTTTTCAGGATTATCGATTATTTTTATCGATTTTATCGATTTTTTTGCAAAGTTTGAGCTAGGGGGCTGGGAGTTGGCACAGGGGGGTAATCGAGCATGCTGATCATCCCCAAGGGGGGTGATCAGCATGCTCGAACACCCCTGTGCCAAATTCCAGCCCCCTAGCTCAAATTTTCAAAAAATCGATAAAATCGATAAAAGTAATGGACGATCTTGAAAACTAATATTGTATTCGTAATCTGCATGCTCGATTACCCTCTGTGCAAACTCCCAGCCCCGCAGGTCAAACTTTGCAAAAAAATCGATAAAATCGATAAAAGTAATGGACGATCCTGAAAACTAATATTGTGTTCGTGATCAGCATGCTCGATTACCCCCCTGTGCAAAATCCCAGCCTCGCATGTCAAAATTTACAAAAAATCGATAAAATCAATAAAAGCAATCGATAATTCTGAAAACTAATATTGTATTCGGAATCCCCATGCTCACTTCCCCCCTGTGCCAACTCCTAGCCCTGTAGGTGAACTCTGCCAAAAAATCGATAAAAATCGGTAAAATCGACATCGATCGATAACGAAAAGTGGACTGTGACACCCGCCGGGGCCTGAAGTGTATGTGTGCCAAGTTTGGTCCGGATACGGCGGAGCCGGGTAAGCCAGCTAGTTTTTATTATAATCAAATTCACTGTCAGACCCACATCTCATTGAAGTCTCGAATTCTAGATGAAAGGAGGAGAAGCAAATAGAATTCGGCATTAATGTATAGAATTAAAAGCAAATAGAATTTGGCAATAATGTTTAGCATAATAATGCAGCAGATCTTGTATAACACCATAATAATGCTATAGCATGTATAGCATAACAATGCAGCCGATCGTACACGAAGTCAATCATCCGATAAGAATGTGCTTCCGTTCACATCTGATTGCCCTAAGGCATGTTCTTTACATATTTCGACAAATATACAAATGCATTTTGGTGATCACACAGGCGGGTAGTTTTGATATAGAAAAAAGACTTTCAACACTTTCAATGGCAGTGAACTGTGACTCGAAGCAATAGGAAAGCTTTTGTACTTTGGACGTCGTCGTAAGTTACAGTCTGCCCCAATCCCAACCAGGCCAAAAATGGCATGGCGGAAGACCGCGCCGCTAGAGTTGCGCGGTCACGCCCATGGCCTGCTTCTCTGCCCTCTCTTCAATCTTTTGCTCTCTTGCGGTTGAGTCGCGCAGGGGATCCGCCCACAAAATAGGCGTTCGCAGCAAAATCAGGTGGACCGGCGCGAGTCATCATTTTGGTTTCGTCCCGATTTTGGTGCGATTTTGTCGCGACGGGCGAGGGGATTTCGAAATAATGCACCTATACGTCAGTTCTTCCCAGCATTTGTTGCTTTTCCTCTTCCTTTTGATTTGAAACTTTCAATTGTTATTTTGTACTGTTTATTCGTACAAAATCTTTCGTCATAAGTGCATTTTTCAAGCGCTAGCTGTAGTTTTTTGAAAATTTCTACGTGAAAAGTTTTTTCTTGATATTCGTGTTCAGCTATCTCCTAAATTGATAAGAGTTTCTCATCACCACCGTTAGTACTGTGAGGTATAAATTTGCATCCAAAGTCGCCTATTTTATGTCAAGTACGTGGATTGCGTCAGTAAGCTAGGGAGTTTTTTTCCTGATAAACTGCTGTCCCTTTCATCACAAGTTTTTTACCTTTGTTATTCGATAAATCTGTCTTCTCCCAGTTCTTTTCTTGTGCATTCTGAGCTTACATGTTTTCATGTAGTCTGCTACTCCTTTTTCAATTCTCGAGGCTGCCTCATTTTCTTGCTTGTCTTGGGCTGTATTATTGTAATTTCTCTATCTATAGGCCCGTTCTACACGGGATGACAAAGACCGGCGAGCGAGGCTCTGATGAGAATACTCCAATGGACACTGTGGTTGCTAACAAGGAAATGATCAGAACTCGAAGTGGCCAAACCAAACAAGCTGTATACCATTCGATTCAGTATAAAATGCTGACTTCGAATCTGTCTTTCTTATCTGCTTCCCGCTTCTGTGGACGAAGCTACAAGCGGTTTTATTGTGAAAAGATCACACATAAATACAGCGAATTTGAGCACACTGTTGCACTTTTAGCTCAGCTTCTTTCTTAAAAAATTCTAAGTAGGCTAGCTGCATGTTTTGGCCCAGCATTAAGGCGAACGTGGCTCACCACGGCTAAATTTTCAATTTCACGCGTAATTTCTTAGCAAAATAATGGTCTTTAATGGTTTGTAGCTTCGTCCGCAGAAGCGGGAAGCAGATAAGAAAGACAGATTCGAAGCAGCGTTTTATACTGCATAACTGATTTACGTTTCGTCCTTGACGCTGTTGGCCTCTACCGCGACGAACTTCTACGGACGCCAGATGAGCATAAGCGGAATCCAAATAGGTATGTATGTCCTCTGAAGACCTTTATGTGCACTGGAATTTAGGTGGTGGTTGTCCTTAGCAGAAGATGATGACGGTCGCGAGAAATTATTCAACGTCCTCTCAGAGAAAAGAGTTGTATGGAGCGGTCACGCAAGGATAGCAACAGGGAGGGCCTTGTGAGTTTTCTCATACGGAAAAAGCGATACATACTTCTGAACTATAATTTTGCAGGGCAGACATCCGAACATATCATTTTGACTCTGAAAAATCCGCTCTTCTTCCATCAAAGGTGATTCATCTGTTTTATGTGGTCCTGGTAACAATAGTTCTTGTTTTTTAGAAAAAGCGTGTCGTCATCGAAGACACTGAAGGCAGGAGTACCGGTATCACTCAGGAAGACCTGGTGATTCTGAAAACTGAATGCGTAGAAGATGAAGTCGAAGACATCGAGGAAGCCTGATGATTTGTCTACATTTTTTGTTGTAGTTGTTTCGTAATCTTGTTTCGTTATTGTGGTGCTTCGAATTTCATACTTGCTGTCTGTCTGTGTGTCTCATTTCGATGTTGATGTGAAGCCTGCTCGAGAAGATCTTGTGTATTTGTTGATAAATTTCGCGACGTAAGACTGTGTTTTATTAGCAGAAAAGTTACAAGCATAAGAAGTGGGACTTAAAGAGATTAAGGACGTTAGATAAGTCAAAAGGAAGGCGTGAGAGAGGGCCTAGAGGACGCAAAAAGCTGTCAGTATGGGCGTAGGCCGCGTGCTCTGAACGCGATCGGGACATTTTGGTGTCTCGCGCAGGTGTCCCGATTTTGCCTTGATTTTGTCGCGCACTTTTGCCGCGACACAAAATCAGGTGTCCTGATTTCGCCGCGACACCGATTTCGCGAGTCGCCCAGGCATTCGTTGACGACACATCGTTTTGCCCTGCGCGACTCAACCGCGAGTGTCTGAGACTCATCACAAGCGTGGTTTCATGTGGTCGATGCTAAGCAATGCATTAGACAGGAATCATTCATAAGATAAATCTTATACATGCAAAAATTTCGTGGGCCAGCTTTTTTGATGTTATGTTTTGAACTCATCATAACTTATAATAACGGGTTAAGGGTGTGTGTGTGTGTGTGTGTGTGTGTGTGTGTGTGTGTGTGTGTGTGTGTGTGTGTGTGTGTGTGTGTGTGTGTGTGTGTCACGAAATTCGTAGAGCGTGTTATAGCCAACGTCCTGAGCCCAAATTTTGCACAGCGCACGGTACCAGCATGAAAGCTTACTATACAAAAGCGTGAGCGGATCCGTTGAGTGGAACTATTGAAAATTGCGCGTCAAACGGATAAACTTGGCTTCTGCTTAGCAAATTGGTCCGTAGTACTACTTTTTGCAGAGTTAAGGATATATCTGACAAGCTAATGTGCAAGCCATGGACGTTAGCCTAAAAAAGTAATGAAAAGTCTACTACTTTACGAAAACAGCGCCAAAAAGCATTTGCTGTGTAAACGGTCAATTTTTCAAGATTTTACCTGATTATTTGAGAAGAAATTTAAACAGAGGTGTAGCCCACTATGTTTTTTGTCCTTACGGCGACTACTAAGCCATAAAAATTCCAAAAGCCTATTCATTTGCATTTGTTCTTCTGGGAAAGATTTTATCCACACGAAAATACCGATCTCACACGGTTTTCTCTACGAATGAGTAGTTGTTTACGAATTATTCGTGATAGCCTACATAGCGCGGTGAGTTTCAATGTCATTATTATGCGGGAATGAGTAAGGCATACAGAAAATAAGGCTAGTGCCAGCCTCTGCGAAGCAGAGGTGACGCACTGATTATGATATGTTTCAAACTAGACCTTTCTTTCTACCATACAAAAATTATTGTTACTTTCGGGCTTACCCTAATTTTGCATGATCATTCCAGCTTTGAATGCACAGCTCCTTTTTTATGACGAATATTTTTATGGAGAAAACTTCTATAAGAGTTCAAGACAAATCTGATATACTCTCACATTAGGGACTGTAGGAGTATGCAAATTACGGGCAGTGATGTATAGCCTGCACCGCTTGAAGTGCAGTAATGATTTTTGAGAAAGCAAAATAATCAGTTACATGCTTATAAAAAAAGCGTACGAAATTTTTACTTCGTTGTTCTTTTTGCGCTACTGATCTGGAACAGGTATTCTATCTCACAGTCCCGCTTGAGGTTCGTCCAAAAAAACCTTTCGCATGTCCTTGAGACTTTTTTACAACCTGATATTGTTTCCAAGTAAAGAACTAATTTGTTCACCCTTAAGGTGCCGTTTTGTTTATGGTGCTGAAACTCGTCTGGACTCGGTCAGCCCTTTACTAGGGGTTTCAAAAGTCCCGTCCTGTTCTATGCCTCGTTTTGATTCAGCTATATTTTATGCACTTATAATTATCCACTTATTGCAGAGTTACGAACATCATAAAAGCACTTTTTTGGAAAAGGAAGTGATGGGCTAATTTACATGATGAGCTAATTTACGTATACTTTTGCTCTCACATAGACAGTGTCATACTTATTGTCTTGGGAACTTGAATACGAACTTCGTTTTTCCACAGCAGCATCAATCTACGTATAGTGATGACGAGTGATGCTTTTGAAATTTGTGCTAGAAAGCCAGAGCAAGCAGGAACCATCAGCCAATTAGCTTCGTTCTTTCGCGACAGCAAGAAGCATCAAATATCGAGAAGTTTGCATGTTTATGCTTGCGGCGAAAATCTCAAAGTGGCTTCTTTTTGCTAAAAAAAAATTCCTGTGCAGCAAGGACAACTTGAATTTTCTTTAGTCATAGAATAGTCACTGGAGTATAGGCTTCGTGGTAATGGCAATCAAATAATTCTACCCATCCTCATACGGAAGCATTAGTATCAGTACCATAGTATTGTGTCGTTTGCCCATTTGGCAAAAAGGGTGATTGCTTGATCTCCGGGGTTATCTATCTCATCACATGTTTATCGTGTGGTGATACGTATATCGGAGAAACAGAACGACCTCTTTGCTGCCGCGTTAAAGAACACCTGGATGGGTTGAACAAATTGAAAGCAGCTACGCCGTTAAGCCCCGGACAGCTTCACGCGACTTAATCGTCGCGATCTAATCGCCAAGATTTCCATTCATTTTCATTTCACATTCAAAAATTTCGGGCTGGAAAAGTATCACAACCGAAATGCAAGTTGATCGGCATGGAATGATGTTGTAACAGTTGTCTCGTCGCGATTCAGTCGCGACGATCAAATCGCGTGAAGTCTGTCCGGGGTCTTAGGCAGCCATCGCATTTCGTACCATGAAAATGCTGAGGTTAGTACTGGAGTGACTATATTAGCGTACGAGCCCGACCTCCTAGCGCGCAAAACTTTGGAAGCGTTCTGGGTCAACGCCAAGAATCCAAAGATGAACCGGAAAGAAGAGTGCATAGCCATCACCAATGAACTGGCGCCATATTAATACCTCTGTGGGTTTTGATATGAGGTCAGTTCACCCGAGCACTATAAATAGGTCTGAGTATATGGTGGTCCATTACATCATCACACGTTATCGAAGGTGAGTCTTGGTTACCCGACCCTTTGCCTTTGCCTCTCTCCAATTTTACTTTCGTCTTGGGCTGGAATTTTGGTGTCTAGGAGAATGTTTCACTTATGTTTTCGACTTTCTAGGCTCTGACAAAGGCGATCGCTCAAACCATTAGTATCAAAGTAGACGTACTAGTATTAGTATCAACCTAAAGCATGAGACTTCTAATGATATTGATACTAATCGACGTTAGAAGTGTTAAAAAACTAAAGTAATATGAGTATTATAATCTTTACTGTAATCTTCATTCAAGTTACTTACATTAGGTCAGTTGCCATCAGCTGATAATCCTCTACAGTGCTTACAAATAAGGGGAGACCGCTGGAGGACGCCTAAACCCTAGAGGGAAACACCCTTCATAACTCCTTCTACAAAACCGCTCCGCAGTTAGAAACTGCAAATTTGGAACTAGCTTTTCAAGCGCTTTAAGATGATATATGTCTCATCTGGATTGGTGCTTTCGACTAAGTATCCTCTCCTTGTTTGTAAAAATTGTAGTACAGTGACATATGTGGGAGGGGCTGAGGACAGAGTTTTTTCGGACAATCATTTTTTTCGCTTCCTATGCATGGGAAAAATCCAGTGGAAGCATATTCGAGTACCAGTGCCGTACCCAGGATTTCGGCTGGGGGGGGGGGGACGACAAGAATTTTTTCTGATGAAGGTGCGTGGCGTCAGCCACGCACCGGGAAAAAATTTTTGGTATGCTTCTCAAAATTTTCGCGGGCCGATAACCCCAAAAAAGGGGACGTGGCGTCAGCCACGCCTCGAAAAAAAATTTCTTCAAGGCTAAATTGAATTTTTAAAAAACTTTAAAAATTATTTCAATTATTAACAAGTATAAACAAGTCACTTGCACATTTTTATTACCCATATAAGTAACTTTCAAAAATTTCGCGACCCATTCTCGAGGAAGGGCCCCCCGCACCTCCCCCCTCCCTCGGTACGCCACTGTCAAGTACTGATATGTGCCTTCTGTATAATGACCAAGTTAGAGCTCCGTAGGGTTCTTCCTCGCAAAAATCCAATTTTCATGTGACAAAATTTTTTTCTCCAATTTTGGCTTCAAACTTTACATGCATGGAAGGCGAATTGGGCGGACCATTGAAGGTGTTTTGTAGAGCTTGATCTGCTCTATCGAATGATATCCTAAATATACTAGGAAAACAAAAACAGCTTGAATTACTTAAGAAAAAGGAGTTTATTTTTGGGACAACCTAATATAAAAGCATTGTTTTCGTAGTTAGCAGGTCGAATAACCCATGTAGGACATAAGCATCCATGTTCGACTATCCATGAATCTTGGCATAGTTGCAATCTTCTCGTTAGTTGCTTGAGCGTAATCCAAGATTGGTACAGAACTTTATCGCACAGAATAACAGACTAACGTTTCGGCGAACTCGCCTTCTTCAAAGTCTGAAAAAGCCGAAGACACATGAGTAAACTATCCGATCAAATACCTCGCTGACTACAGAAAGGAGCCCAACCCTCTAAGAAAAACAACAGCCTCAACCAAAACCAAGATTAAGCTAGTGCTCACCTTAGCAGATGATAAATTGGTGGGTGCAGACCACTTATGTCAAAAGCTGTACTGCTTAACTTTTATAGTTGACTAGTGACCCGGTTCTGACCTGACCCCATTATTCAAAAGCCACAGAGGCTCTGATATGGTGACAGTTCGTTAGTAATGGCTAGGCACTCGTCCTTCCGGTTGATTTTTGGATTTTGGGCGGCTATCCAAAACGCTTCGAGTTTCTTGCGCGCTAGGATTTCGGGTTCACGCGCCAGGATTCGAACCTGCACCACCACCTCCGCGTCGTCATGGTTGAGCCTGCGATGCATGCCTAACGGAGTAGCTACGTTGTCCTTGC